CATTATGAAGTTTCACCAAGTGCCATGTGGTATAATTTTCATTATGAAGTTTCACCTGATGCCATTGGGTAAAACTTTGACCATGAAGTATAACAAAGGTTTATCCTAGCCATGTGGTATAATTTTAGCCATGCAGCCATTGGATATCACATTGACCTAATCATTATGGTGTATCTGTAGACACTATTATGATATACAAATATATGTGCTATTGCCATGACTCATTAGACCCTTTATATATCATGTGTGGGTGAGTGAATGCATAAATTATGTTTAAAAATCTTGTCTGGTCCATAATTTTGTCATGCATCAATTTAGATTTTGAAATAATTAGCACAAATGTATAGCATGATAAGACGGGGTTATGCTCAAGACCTAGACCCTAGCTCCATAGTCAAGGTTACACTTAGAGGTCAAAGGTCAGCAGTTAAAAATTTTTTATATAGTCCATTACTCTGTTGTGCATCAATGGATTTTGAAATAACTTATTTGCACAAATTTGTAGCATGTTGAGACAGTGTGTCATGCACAAGACTTAACCTCTAGCTGTAGGGTCAAGGTCACAGAGGTCAAAGTTCAGCAGTTAGTGTTAATATTATAAAAAACTATTTCATCAAATCTTTTACTTTTAATAATGTAAACAACTTATTGTAGTCAACCGTCCTAACATTTATAGTGGGGGCATCTGGCTTTCAGACATATTTCTATTTAAACAGGCCAAAGATAATGGCTTCTTGCAAAAATTCAAGCCTAACAATTTTTATAATGACAAAAAAGTAGTTCCTTGTTTTTACTGACAAAAATTAAAGCCTTGAAACTAAGTCATTCTGTTTTTTCCCTCCAAATGCGTAGGCCCATGATGTTGATTATAATGGAATAGATTCATGCATTATAAATGACTATAAGCATGTAGTTATGTTAACTTTGCCAAGAAAACTTATTAAGATATGCCCAGGAGAAATCTGGCTATCCATTTCTTATTACCAATTTTTTGGAAGAATATGCTAAAATTAGAATGTCTGAGGTACCATAAACTAAATGCCAGCAAAACAATGCTTTTCTTATGGCAACATAGGTAAACCTTAGACAGCTTTTTGGTACCATGTACAGAATGTCAGAAAAATTACAATTTTTATTTGTTTGGGTATTCTGCAGACCGAAGAAAATTGTTCAAAAAAAGTTATCAGCTAAACCTTATAAGTGATAAAAAGTATTTTTATAGTGTAGACATGTATATAATTATTCTGATGCAAAAAAATTTACATTGTAGTTATATGATAATTAGAAAACTAAAATGTTATACTTGTTAAATGCATAGAGAAGAAATAAATTGCATATTACATAAAGTTTAAATTATATATTATAGAATAAATTACATTGTACATTAAGAATATATCACATAGTACAGTACGCTCAGCGCGACTTTTTCAAAACCCGCGTGACCCCGCAGATGAGGTTTACCGCGGACGAAAATTTGCTCAGATATTGTCCGCGTGACCCCGCGGACAGAAAATTTCACCACCGCGGACATAAATCGGCGGCTTAAACCGTTTCCCCCGCGGAACGCAGTGGTAAATTGCGGAGGAACGCGGCGGTCAAACACCGGTCAACGCGGTGGAAACCTTAAATTTTCAAAATTAATTACTGTATTTAAACATCAGTATACGTACGTACATGTACTGTAACATGTACTGTACATATACATGTAACTATATGTAAAATTTGTTTGTTTTCTTTCTTTTTTGTTGTAATAAAAGTACATGACAAATGCAGTGTTTTTCTTGTTCTTCTTCTTGTTATTGTGTTGGGTAATGTATAATATGTATTCGACATCAAGATAAATCATTGTCGTCGCAACTTCATGGTAGTGAGAAACTTGAAGTCAAATAATGAAAAATTCGGCATATGACATTTATGAAAAAGATACTACAACAATTTATATGCCAGCTTTTGTTTCTTATTTAAAAACTTTGAAAACGTAACCCTCAACAATTTTATTCAAGCAATATTCCAGGACGTCTCTTTCAATTGTTAGATGCGTTTTACTGTTTCTGTTTATTTGCATGTTGATCATAAAGTCTTATATTTTATTTGGAACATTAAAAGAAAGCGTTTATTTCACCAAAATATACATTAAATGATATTTTGATTTATCTAATTACAGATGTGAGCGTAATGTATATGTTTTGAAGTTTGTATCAACTGTTGAAGTTTATTTTCATTTTTGTTTTAGTAGTTTGTTTGCTTGTTCTTTTTAATTTTTTTATAGATTTTTTTTGCAGAATTTTGTTAAACTTGACGTTATACTTTTGTTATTTTATAATGAACAGTATGCATGTACATACATGTATATAAGGCAAAGGAGCACATGGCAGTTATTTTCTAAGAACTTCCATCGACCCATTTTCAAGTTAAAAATATTTCATTTTAATTTCATCTTAAGATATTATTGTTCATAGGAATAATAGTATTTGTAGACAACATGTAGTTTTAAGTACATACAATTGAACGTAATTATCTTTGCTTTCTTGTATTTATTATATTAAGTTTTCATTGAAATTAATTCCGAGAATAATAATGTAATTTTATAATTTGTAAAAGGCAGCCTAATTATTATTTTTTTAATGGGTGCGGAATTTGTTTTTAACGCGTTTGGTGCTTATTATATATAGTTATCATACATCAAGAGCGCTGGAATAATAAACAAGATATGTTTATACAATATGAATATAATGGGTTTTTTTCTACCATTTGTTTCCGTACTTGGTTTCAATGCATAATAGTACCCTCTTTCAGTTCTTCTGTGTTCAATACTGTGGGGTCCTACATATTACCGTACAAAATATGGTGTTTTTTATTCTGTAACTTTAATTTAGAATGATTTTTGAGTTCTTAAGAATAGCTTCTGTTTGATAAACTGATTGTCCGGTAAATATATAGAATCTTAACAGGGAAAATTTATTTCTAATATATGTACATGTATTTTATTTATGTCCTGTCTTGTATTCACACTCATCGACCTCTTACAGGACATGTACTGTAGCGTCAGTCATCATTGAGAAATCAGCACAAATATCCTTTTTTTTTACTAAGTATCATATTTATGGCTCCCATATAGTTTAACAGCAATAAAACTTATAGAACCACAAGGAATGAACAAGTAAAGTTGACAGTGATAAATGACGATTTCAGTTGTAAAAATATTGGTACATGTATGTGGACGAATAGTTTTGTGGACGTTTATAACAAAAATATTAAAAATAACAACAAAAACAGGTACAGCTGTAATTATTTTTATTTCAAATTCCGTTCAAATAATTTAACGTATAATAACATTTAAGGAGACGATTGTTGTCAATTTTCAAGTCATTGTGTAAAAAAGATGACGTTAAAAAATAATAAAACGTCTATTATTTTTGGAGGTTAATTAATACTGACCAACTAACCATGGCGTTCCCCCGCGGGAAACGGGTGACTGATTTTATCGATAAATGAAGAACGGTCGTCAGAATTTTGTCCGCGGTGGAAACAACTGAACACCGGGGATCGCGGGGAAATTAGGCTTCTCATCGCGGACGAACACCCGCGTTCGTCCGCGATAAAAAAAATCGTCCGCGGTGGTATCGCGGAAAAAGCAAAACCCCCGGTGAGCGTACTGTACATAAGGTAGAAATCACGTAATACATACGGTATAAATCACATAATATATACAGTATAAATCACATAATACATATTAGGTATGAATCACTTAATACATACGCCACGGTATAAATCACATTATACGTTAGTGTATAAATCACATTATAATAAGTGTATAAATCACATAACACATAAAGTATAAATCACATTATACATAAGGTATAAATCACATAACACATAAGGTATAAATCACATTATACAAAAGGTTTAACTCACATAGTACATAAAGTATAAATCACATAATACATAAGGTATAAATCACATAGTACATAAGGTATAAATCACATTATACATAAGGTATAAATCACATAATACATAAAGTATAAATCACATAGTACATAAAGTATAAATCACATAATACATAAGGTATAAATCACATTATACATAAGGTATAAATCACATAGTACATAAAGTATAAATCACATAGTACATAAAGTATAAATCACATAGTACATAAGGTATAAATCACATATACATAAAGTATAAATCACATAATACATAACTTATAAATCACATTATACATAAAGTAAAAATCACATTATACATAAAGTATAAATCACATAGTGCAAAAAAGTATAAATCACATAATACATAAGGTATAAATCACATTATACATAAGGTATAAATCACATACATAAAGTATAAATCACATAGTACATAAGGTATAAATCACATTATACATAAGGTATAAATCACATAGTACATAAAGTATAAATCACATAGTACATAAGGTAAAAATCACATTATACATAAAGTATAAATCACATAGTACATAAGGTATAAATCACAGTATACATAAAGTATAAATCACATAATACATAACGTAAAAATCACATTATACATAAAGTAAAAATTACATTATACATAAAGTATAAATCACATAGTGCAAAAAGTATAAATCACATAATACATAAGGTATAAATCACATTATACATAAGGTATAAATCACATAGTACATAAAGTAAAAATCACATACATAAAGTATAAATCACATAGTCCATAAGGTAAAAATCACAGTATACATAAAGTAAAAATCACATTATACATAAGGTATAAATCACATAGTACATAAAGTATAAATCACATACATAAAGTATAAATCACATAGTACATAAGGTATAAATCACAGTATACATAAAGTAAAAATCACATTATACAGAAGGTATAAATCACATGATGTCTTCCACTATTTTCTTATGTATCATAATTTCAGAATTGAATACTGACCTTTTGCTTATAACAAAATGTGTAAATGAAGGGATAGAAATATATGTCTAAAAGGTGATAACATATATTTACAGATTCCTGCTGGGAGATTGTTCCATGCTGCGGCAGTTGTCACGGATGCCATGTATGTGTTTGGTGGTACTGTGGACAATAACGTCAGGAGTGGCGAGATGTATAGATTTCAGGTACGACATTTTAACTTTTTTCAACATTTTTTTTATTCATAGTTAAAATGTGTTGTCGCCAGAAAAGTATTTTATCTTGAAAAAAAAAATCTACAAATGGTAAAAATGTAAGTTTTTTTTAAAAAAACACACAAAGTACCTATGATCATTAAGTGCTACTGAGGGAAAGTTTGAGAATACAGAAAAATGATAAATTATTCTCAAAATTATTCTTTCATAAACATATTATTATTCCTGCATCTTCAGATATTACAGTTTTAAGGAGGCTTTCTTTATGAATGAATGATTTTTTTTTTCATTGCTGAGATAATTTGAATAATTTAAAAATGTACCATAGATATTGTTTTAAATGACAGAATTCGTTTTTCATGTAGGAATATCTTTTGATACTTTCGAAATATTCTGAAGATATATGAAGCTCTGTTTATATTCTGATGATACTATATCTGGTACATAAATCTTGAATAGATCAATAGTTTATGTCAACAGCTAAAATTTGACACCAAAATCTGACACCAAGGGGAGCCCCAAAGCTGTCTGTGATAAAGATAAACCAGAGAATTGTGGGATTTGGGATGACAAGCAAAGATTTGCCAATATTTTACATGTATATTCAAGGGAACTACAAAATTTAATCTTACTCTTTCTTATAGAGTTTTAAATTTATTTTCAATTTTTTATATTTTTTAATAGATGGCATTTAATGCAGGTCTTGGCAGTATTATTATGTCAGCAAATTGACAAGTTTTTCTTGTACATGTTCTTATTCACCCATTTCGGGGACTGTGGGATATAGATATGACCTTGATGATCTGTTCATCCTGATACTCTGCTGTTGTTTAATGGACACATTTCTACTTGTTTGTTTTTTTTCATACTTATGATTATGTAAAACAGATTACAGATTTATACGTTAATTTCTAACACTTGCTCTATTTTTATCCCCCCCCCCCCACTCCGAAAGGAAGAGCATATTTTAGCCATTTGTCTGTCCGGCTATTTAAGAGTAGTAGGGGCCAAATAACTGTAATCAGAAGAAAAGAGAACAATAGAGTTCATTCGGTAACAATAGAATATGGGGCCATGGTCCTCTATTAAACAAAAGATATGGCCCCTTGGTCTATATAAATGGCAATTATCTATGTCCGTCCATCAGCTTCTTTGTTCACATCACAATATTTTACTTTTTAAATGAATTTGTAAAATTTTCATGAAAATTAGCATAAATCTTGAGGCATACTGCTTAAAGACTTGTGAAAACATACAGTATTGAAGCCAACTAGAGTAGTAAAGAAATAAAACCTGTGTTAGCTGGTCATACAATTTGGGCTGTTGATTTTGATGTAAATTTTTAAAACTGATATTTTATCTTTCAGTTTTCTAGCTACCCAAAATGCACGTTGCATGATGACTATGGTAGATTGTTAGAGAGTCAACAATTCTGTGATGTCATCTTTATAGTAGGAAAGGTAATTTATGTTACTGCTGAGGCAGTCTTGTTTATTAAATGTCTAAATTTGAGCGTGCTATTTTAAAATGATTTTTTGTCCCAAAAAAAACAACAAAAGATGTTGAGCTCACTGTATAAACAAAAAAAAATTAGGTCAGAACATCTTTACTTTTTCTGCAAATGTAATATGCCATACATTTCATGGCACAGATACAAAATGTATGGCTATGGAATATTGGCTATGGAATATTTTAAGTGTAGAGATGGTTTAACATAAAAATTTAACAATTTTACTTTCTTTTAAATGAATGCAAAATATTGCATATAAAATTCAGCAGTGTTACATTAAAACTTTTTTATTAGTATAAAATACAAACTTAAGTATTCAACTGTTCACCAGAACTCAAATTTTAGAATTACTATTGGTTTGTGTAAAGGGATGTAGAAATATTTTCATGTGACAAGGTAAGCCACCTATGGTATGAAAAGTCTGTGCTACTATCCAGGTGTGTAGAGCCACCAATGTTCTGTAAGCTAAAGTGATGTAAAACTAACATTCAGTAAAAACTTTAGATTTAGATATTTCTTTCTATTTTAGTTATTGACTCAGTTATTGAAATGAACCACAAGAAAAAAATACATATAACTATATAACCAACCAAACATTTGATAATAATTTCAAAAATAATATTTCCTTCAACTCTCACTATTCGATACATGACTATTTTTTTCCAAATATTGGAGGCATGTAGCTTTAAAAGATAACTTATTTAAAGATGTTTTTCTCACCTACAGGACAAAGTTAGAATACCAGCTCACACTGCTCTAGTCGCAGCTCGGTCTCCATGGTTACGACAGAAAATAAGACAAACAAAAACACAGGTAGGGAACCAATTTCTTTTACAGTTTGTAAATATTATGGAAATATATTATGGAAATATTAGCATGAAAGTTATTGACTTTATAATATATTTGCTATTACTAAGCCAAAATATCTTCTTTTTTTGGAGAAAATTCAATACATCTACTCTGTTTATTTCCCAAAAGATATCAACAAAGTTCATTTATCCACATATGTATGCAAAAAATCACACTAATTAGTTGGACCTTTAAACATATTAGCAAATAGCTTTGTTAGTTATGTACAACTTAATAGTTTATTTGAGCCGCGTCACGACAAAACCAACATAGTGGGTTTACGACCAGCATGGATCCAGACCAGCCTGCGCTACCGCGCAGTCTGATCAGGATCCATGCTGTTCGCTATCAGTTTCTCTACTTGTAATAGGGTTTGTAAGCGAACAGCGTGGATCCTGATCAGACAGCGCGGAGGCGCATGCTGGTCACAAACCCATTATGTTGGTTTTGTCATGACGCGGCTCATTTATCAACAAAATGTCAATTGATGCAATTTCAAGTATGGTTTACAGTGGGCTTGAAAATTGTACATTTGTAATGCATTATGTAATGCATGCATAACATGATTTATTAGCAATGTAATACATTATATTACAATTACTTGTAATGCAAAAAAACCCTGTACATAACTTATTATATGAGTCAATGTGTTGTTGTGCATTACAATTACATTTTTGCAATACCCTATTTCATGTCTTCAGTAAAACAATTTTTTATCTTCAGTAAAATTATATTATAAACAGAATGACGAACAAATATAATTTTGTAGTTGTTGTTAATATGTTGATAAACATAGAGCATTTTTTTTACCATGGTCATTTCCCAATCGGTTGTTTTTTTCTCATGGTAATTTTCTTCATTCCTTCTTTATAAAGAAATGATAAATAATCCTAACTTGATTGTTGTCTATTTTAGGAACACAATGACCTGTTAGATGAAGGTGAAGGTCAGCAAAGATCAAAGGTCAGTTGTATAGAGGTCAGTTTAGAAGATGCTGAACCTCAAGCATTTCAGCTTGTTCTAGCTTACATCTATAGAGACAGAATTTACCCCCAGCAGAGTGACAAGGAAGACAAACAGCTGAGCAGTAATGAAGTAACATTGTTAATGATGGATGTGTACAGGTTAGCACTTCAGGTATGGGATATTTTCTTTTCTAGTGCACTTTGTATGCCTACTTCTTATAGGTGGCATATAGATTTACCCTTGTCCATCCCGCTGTCATGCTTACTGTTTTTAGACTGGTAGACTGACAAAACAGTGGAATGTTGGGGTTGGGATGTATGAAGTTAAAGCTTTTATATTTCATAGAGTTATTATAATATAAAGAACAGTATTATGATTATTGTTAAAGGTCACCATAAATTAATCTCATTGCCATTTGACACTTACTTCTTGAAAGTTTTAAAACTGCCTATGAAATGAAATAGTAGCAAGTTTCCAGTTTTCTTAAATTCAGCTTATTCTTTACTATGAGAGCTGGAAAGTTGTAATACTCTATCTGTGTGATTCAAACAACACAATAAAACTAACATAAGTAAAAATAGATTACAACACAAGAACTAGAGACAAAAGACCCGAAGGTAATTGAAAATAGTGTAAATTTACAATTGAAATTTTAATCTATTGCAATTAAGCTTTGCAAGAGATAAATAATTCAGTTTATAGAGATGTAATTGATTTTACTTTATTGATATTTGATACATTTGCTAGTGATGATTCAGTGATAACAGCAAAGGGGTCATATTGTTAATTCATGTTATTTACTTGTCATGAGAATTGGTAGTTTAGGCCAGAGATTACTAAATTTTATTGTGGGACTTTTTTTCCAGTCTAATATGAATCTGGTTGTGATTTGAGCAACAACATAAGAATTAGTTTATTCATGTCAGTGGTTAATGCGTACTTCAGTTGATATCTTACTTTCCTGCATATCAGACAGGATTTTGTACTGCTAATACCAGTGCTAGAAAAACCTGTCTTGCACTCTCTAATGTAAGACAAGTCACATGCATTCATTGATGTCATTCCCACATGCCTTCTATGAATGAATTGTGTGTGTACTTAGAATTACATCATTTTCCATTATGAATGAAGTTCTAAATTGATATTACTGTAAGAAAAAAAGAGCTATAAGAAAATATTTAACTTCACAAATTCTCTCTCAAATATGAGTTACATGTATTGCTAATATGCAAGGAAAAGCAGCTAAAACTGGGTATCATCTCAGTTACAGCTATGAACAGTTATTTTCATGCTAGATGTTTGTACCGGCAGGAAGTGTACAATTATATTAGTTCCACTTTAAGCATAATTCACTTCTTAATGTAGAATGTATTATTGAAAAATAGTCATTGCCCATGGTATGATGTTTTATTTTATTTTACAGTTTCACATGAGGAGATTGGAACAGCTGTGTGTGCAGTATCTGGAAGCTAGTATAGGTCACAACAATGTACTTGTGGCATTACAAAATGCCGCTAGGCTCAAGCTGGACTTCTTAAAGGTGTGATTCCTCTACTATGTCATATTTTAAAGCTGTGCATTTATGTATTTAACCCTTTAACTTGCTAAATTTTGTATTGGATTTCCCTGCTTTGAATTAGGAACAGTCCATTTAAAGTATAAGGGAATTCATTATCAAGCTACCAACAGTATAGAGTCTGGTCAGACAGCAAGGAGGTGTAGGCTGGTCTATGGCTCTATACTGGTGGCAGTGGCTAACAACTTTTGCTTTCAGCAGGTTAAACTAATAAATATGGTTAGGACGAAAATTCCAGACTGTTTCATCAGTTCTGTCAAAATAATCCAATTGATAAATAATTTTTTTACATTTAATTGGTTATAATGAATATATGAAGAAGAAAAAGAACAATTATAGGTCCATCAGTGTCTGAAGCTTTGGCTCAATTTGAATATACACATTCATTACAATTTATCTGCTTTCCTGGGAGATGAAATTATTTCACCCAGCTATTGGAAGGGAAGTCCTCCTGAAATAGACAGGAAATCACAGTAATGTTGTGACTTAGTTTAAACATTATATTACTTCTACCTCAATTGTTATGAAATCTTGAAGTTTGTTTTAACCATCCCCTTGTGACTGAGGGGTTGCCTTTAATGGTTAAGGCTTCAGAATTGCAGCCACTGTTTATCCATGCAATATCATAAGAGAATAACTTGGGTCTATGTATCTGTTAGCTTCATTAAGTGGGGTGGTTTTGCCCCTGGTGATGCTTTGAAGATTGTAACACCCTAGGTTAGCCAAAATTATCTTTTCTCAGCGCCATACGACCAAAACTGTGGTGGTGCGCCTTAAAACCAAACAAACAAAAAATATATTCTTATTGGAACAATCAACCACACTCAAGTTTATTTCCAGGAATTAACCAGTACTGTTGTCATAAGAGGAAATATGATTGTGACCCAGTAAGACTTGAACAGTTGTTCCCTAGGCAGACTGATAAATCACTTGTCCAACCACTCGGCCATCTATGCCCTTAGTGCCGACACTTTTAACCCAACTAGTTTATAGGTATGAATTAAACAATGTACACATGTTATTTAATTATTTTTCAGGAGTATTGTTTGAAGTTTATAGTAAAGGACCATAACTACAGCACTATAATCATGAGTGAAGAGTTCGAGACCCTAGAGCAGACGTTAATGGTGGAAATTATTCGGAGGAAAACTCAGCCTCATCCTCGCTCCCTGGCAGAGCCTCATGTTGATCAGGCATTCAGTATGTTTTTCATTTTATAAGTACACATTAGACATAGTAATATTAACAAAATTTTGAAGAAAAAGAATTTTCGGAAATTCTATATACCGTATAACTGGTTATTTCTGCATGTGCTTTTTGCATTTTGGGACTGAAAATGGGTATATTAATTTTTGGAATTTAATTTCTGCGTTTTTCATCAAAAACGTTTATAAAATATAATGTATGCATTTTTCTATTAAATTTTCAACTTCGCATGTGTACAGCCTACACCAAGAACGTGTCATATACATTTCACATATCTTTATTGATTTTCACTAGAGCGAGAGGCTACCAGCAGGATGTGTGTATTGTTTAATTAACAGGAAAATTGAGGTGACAAACGGGTTAAATTACATATAAAACTACGAAATATTTGCGAATTTAATTTTTGCAGTCGGAAGGACCTGCAAAATATTGCAGAAATTAGCTATCCGCAGAAATAACCAGTTAAATGGTAACACTGTCATGATTTGACTTTTAACCCGTACCCTGCTGAGTTTTGTGGAGGAGACTTGTCCTGCTTTGAACTGACCATTAACCCGCAGACTGGTAATAGCAACAGAATATAACTTATGTGTGTTATCTGATCATACTGTCTTTATACTGTCTTTATAAGATATATAGTTGGATCTGTAACAATAAGGTAAAAAGCTTGGTTTGTAACAATGTATTAACTCAATCTGACCAGTCTCTATACTACTGGTCAGCAAACTTATTTTTTTTGTCATGATATCTTTACAATGATAATGGACAAATCTAGAAGTCTATTTAAGAAATTCAGAAGGCAGTCGTTTGAAGGTTAAACTGTATGTCTCTATCTTTCCTTTAACTGGTCTGTAAGGTATGATAGGCTTGTGCATTACAACAGACATTTTTTTAAAAATATTTCATGAATGTCACCAGCAATGTCATTTTTTTCTTTCTTTCACAGCTAATTCTCTAGAGAAAGATATGGAGAATTTTCTGAAGACAAGCGGACATGAGTTCTGTGACATTACCCTGTTGTTAGACAATGTTCCAGTGCCCGCCCACAAGGCGATCCTAGCTGCTAGATGTACATACTTTGAATCCATGTTCAGGTCTTTCATGCCAGAAAATAATACTGTCACAGTAAGAATGTATAGATGTAGAATTCTGTATTTTGACTTTCTCTTAGAAAAAATGTACATATTATCAAGGTTTCTTTGATCATGACATTGGCCTTTGAATCACCTACCCAGAACTAGTGTGGGTTGAATTCTGCCACTGAATACATAATGCTCTGAAGAACTATTCTCTGTTTTGGAACATGCCCTCTAAACTCAATAAGGAGAGAATAAGATTGATACTCAAGGGGTCACTGGTTTGATTCTTTGGCTGGATGGACAAAATTTCTTATGTGATTTATGATTTCGAAAAGTGACTTGTCTCTCAATGATGATTAAAAATATATTGGGATTAGTAGTCTGTCAACTATGGAGAAACTCGTAATTACTGGTTAGTTGTACAGGATACAAGTATGGTAGGTTAACCACCAAGATACTTTGGAACAAACAGATAGTTCTCAGTTTTATCATTACTGGTATTATGGTATGGTTTCATAATTATGGTTATAATGTCAGGTTTGCTAGCAAGTTTTGAGGGTGCCAGAAATCAGAAATAATAAACAGAGAGGTTTTCCACCAGAACAATCTGGAAAGTCACCATATAACTTTAAGGATGTTGGTGTGGTCGTTTTTTCAACAATAACAACAAAAGTCTGATTACTGTAAACTGATGAAATTGTTATAAAAATAATGTCTCTTATTGAACACCATACATGTCTATATATTACAGATAGTCATAGAAGAAATGGTTATAAGCATAATGTCTCTTACTGAACACCATACATGTCTATAGATATAAGAAATGGTTATAAATATAATGTCTCTTACTGAACACCATACATGTCTATATATTACAGATAGCCATAGAAATTGTTATAAAGGCAATGTCTCCTATAGAACACCATACATGTCTATCATAGAAATTGTTATAAAGGCAATGTCTCTTATAGGACACCATACATGTTTGTATATTACAGATAGCAATAGGAGAAATGGTGCCTTCAAGACAAGCATTTGACAGCCTTATGAGATATATATACTATGGTGAGGTTTCCATGCCACCTGAAGATTCGCTCTATCTCTTTCCTGCTCCTTATTTTTATGGCTTTACAAACAATAGATTACAGGTATGACAACATTTAATTGACATAAAATATTCTGTTTTTCATGAGCAGTGTGACTAATGTAAAAGACTGTTTCTTTTGTTTGCAATAGAAAAGGATGGTTTTGTGAAAGCAATCATTATTCAGGAATGCTATTTTATTTTACTGTCAAACTTTTCTCTTTATGCATTATTTAACATGGAATTCTTGAAAATATTCGATAAATTTAAAAAAAACCAACCTTTTACAATGACCTTTATAAAGTATGACTATATTTGTACCATACTTTTGAAACAAATCAATGGTGTCTGTGGATGAGTGGTTATGGTTGTTGATTTCAAACCGCTTGCCCCTTTATCGCTTTGGGTTCAAATCCCGACAGGGACTTTGGATTGTATTCATGTGAGGAAGCTATTCAGCTAGCTTACATGGTTCTACTCAGGTGCCTGAAATTATGCATTGAATGGCATCTGAGGTCTGCTTCAACCAGTAAATCTGGAAAGTCAACATATGACTGGTACTGTGTTGGTGCAACATGAAAACCCAACTGAAAAAGAAAAAAGAAACAAATTTTATGTATTTAAATTACTATAAAGTATAACACAGCCTGTTTATTTCTAATTACTCAAAGTTGATTATCAAATGTAAATTTAACCTGGACTTTGTAGGCATATTGCAAGCACAATCTGGAGATGAACGTGACATGTCAGAACGTGGTACAGATCCTCGAGGCTGCTGACAGAATACAAGCCGTAGATATGAAGAAACACGCCCTCAGCATTATAGTACATCACTTTCCCAAGGTAATGCTTTTATTTTCCGAAGGTACATAATGTTACAGTTCCTAGTGGTATGTCATGTTACTTTTCTCATGGTGTATGATATTATCTTTACAACAGTATGTTATGTTAATCTTTCCCAATGTATGTTATGCTACCTTTTCCAAGGTATGAAATAATACCTTTCGGAAGTTATGTAATGACACCTTTCCAAAGTTATGTAATGTTACCTTTACCAATTTATGTTATGTTACTTTTCCCACAGTATGTTATGTTACCTTTACCAAGGTATGTTCTAATCCTTTTGCCAAGGCATGTTATGTTACTTTTCCCAAGGCATGTTATGTTACTTTTCCCACAGTATGTAATGTTACTTTTACTAAGGTATTTTATGTTACTTTTCCCAAGGTACATTGTATGTAATGTTACCTTAACCAATGTATGTTATGTTACTTTTCCCAAGGTATGTTTAGTTACATTTCCTAAGGTATGTTATGCTACTTTTCCCAAGGTATGTTATGTTACTTTTCCCAAGGTATAAAAATATATTATGCAGCCTTTCCAAAGGAATGTTATTAATGTTGCCTTTCCCAAGCTTACATGTCATGTTTGTTACCTTTCCCAAGGTGGGTTATTTTACCTTTTCCAAGGAATGTTATGTTACCTTTCCCAAAGTGGGTTATTTAACCTTATGTTACCTTATCTGAGGTATGATATGTAACCTTTCCAAGTTATGTTAATTTTCCCAAGGTTTGTTATGTTACCTTTATCAAGGTATGTTATGTTACCTTTTCCAAGTTATGTTAACTTTGCCAAGGTTTGTTATGTTACCTTTGCCAAGGTTTGTTATGTTACCTTTTCCAAGTTATGTTAACTTTCCCAAGGTATGTTATGTTACCTTCATCAAAGTATGTTATGTTACCTTTTCCAAGTTATGTTAACTTTCCCAAGGTTTGTTATGTTTCCTTTGCCAAGGTTTGTTATGTTACCTTTATCAAGGTATGTTATGTTACCTTTTCCAAGTTATGTTAACTTTCCCAAGGTTTGTTATGTTTCCTTTGCCAAGGTTTGTTATGTGAAAGCAGTGTAATTTCTTTTTCAAGGTATGTAATGTTACTTTTCTTTTGAATAAGGGTTACGAGATACACTCAATATTTGTTAACATTTAATTAGATTCTGTTTTGTGTTCTTTAATGGAATTTAGTCATTTTAGAAAATTATATACAGTGAGTAACACATATAATAATTCACTGACAAATTTTAGTGATCAACATGAAATAAGCTATTTTAATACAAATACTGGACTGTTGAATATTTCAGGTTGCTAAGTTACCACAGATTGGCAGACTAAGTCGGGAACTGTTATTAGATATACTGGAGGCTATAGCCGATGATATGTCAGAGACGAGGATATGTCAGGACTTATCTAGCAGTAGTCTCACAGATTCCAGCTATACCTAAACATCAGTTATACCCAGATTTGCCATATTTTTTTAATAACTCAATAGTATACATGATATAGGCCAAAACATGACTTCGCAATTACTGTGTTATATATGATATAAAAAGTTGCTATGGTTACCCTCACATAATGCTATATAGTAAAATAAAACACTAAAGTATAATACAATTAAATTATAATATTCTTGGGCAATACAAGGTTTTACAGTTTAACATTGGGACTACTTGACATTTTGGTGGGTGGGGGGGGGGGAAAGAGGGGAGACATAACTTTTTGTGGATACACAAATCTGCATTCTGAAGGGATATTTGTTCATTTAGACATTATTCTTGTTTTTACCTGAAGCAAAACTAAATATCTAGATTTAACTTTTAAAATATACATGAAGAAAATAATAGCTTTGTTAGATTATGAGGGAAATGTAGAAGGGTATGAAACAGTATGTAGATGTTCTTGAAGTCTTTTACATTAAATATTTTGCCCCTAATGATTGTAAGTTCAAATCCAAACAGGGATATTGAACTATTTCATGTGAAAATGCTGTCTCACTAGGTTGCCTTCTTTATGCCTGAAATAGTGCATATTGCAGCCTCTTTGATGTGAAGTATATTAGGAAAATTTTCATATAAACATTACAGAGTTGGTGTTACTTAATAACCAACAAAAAAATTGTAAATATTCTTTTTTTTGTGATAATTGTACCATTACTATTGTTTTGATGATTATTTTTCATTGATGTGCAATATTTTATAGATCGCAAAGTTTTTATATTTTGTATGAGATATAGCATTCTGCATCTAGTGCCAATTTATTTGTGAACTTTGTCTCGTGTTTATATAGTGATATATGTTGTACATTTTTTGTTAAGGAGGATATATAGGTATATGATTAATTTCAATATTGATAAAGTTGTTAAGGTTACATTACATGGCTGTAGGTTTGTATCCCAACAGAGACTTTGGTTTCTTTCATGTGAGGAAGCTATCGTGCTAACTAACGGAACATTGGTAGTTCTACACATGTGCCCTTTCGTGTCTGAAATAATGTACTGAAAGGCAACTCAGGTCTTCTTCCACTTGTAAAGCTGGAAAGTCGACATGTGACCTATACTGTGTCGGTGCCACGTAAAACCCAACCAAGAAAATATGAAAAAGTGGTCAAATTTTCAAGTCTCTTCTTCCTCAAAATGGATTATACTGGATTCCTGACCACTTGAATTTTGTTGCATAGATGAGAAACCATTTATAGTTTTGAGACTTTATATTTTCGAAAATGAATATATTATATACTGCCATATTTTCAGGGGAGAGTGGTGTCACAAAATAGTGCTATTGTTGTTTTTAGCTCGACTATTTGATAAAAATAAGTAGAGCTATTGTAGTCACCTGAGCGTAGGCGTAACCACTTATGTTAAAGTTTTTGTAATACCTGAAATATTTTCAAGTCCATTGACATATGGCTTTGAAAACTTTGCACACTTGTTCAACATCATGACCCCAACCTGTAGACAGGAGGAGATAACTGTATCAAGCATTTTGACAAATTATGCCCCTTTTTCGACTTAGAATTTACGTTTAAGTTTTTGTAATACCTCAAATATTTTCATATACTATTGACATCTGGCTTTCAAACAAGTTGTAATTTTATACTCTTCTTTTAGAGCATAATAGGACTGTTTTCAAGGCCTATAACAGTAACATGGATTTAATGGAAAGTTTGGCCCTTTTGTTAACTTAAAATTTTTTACATTATCAAGGCTCTTTTACTATCAAGCACTAAGAATAGTCGAGCGTTGCTGTCCTACCGACAGCTCTTGTTTTCATTATTATTATTAGAGGTATATCTAACTGCCTTTTTTTCATGAAATTTTTAATCATTAGATATTTTGTTTTTAACTGTTTATTCCTGTAAAATTGACTTCTTGTATTTCATGAATAAGTATAACATGAAAGAAATGAAAATCTATATTGTATAGCTATAAAGTTTGCTTTACCAAAAATTTACAGATCTTTACAAAAAATTGTATGCTTAATCACATTGTGATTACTGGTAATGCACTTCATGTAGAGCTCACACTAAACATGTTGAATTTTCAAAAGATGGGAAAACCTAACAAAAACTCATAGGTAGAGTGACTGTTATAAGATTTTTGAGCTCAGTTTTTTTGATATTATAAGAACAATATCTCAGGGTAAGTACATGTATATCACAAATGTTAATCTCTGACTTGTATCTTCACATACAGTTATTTATTTATCACAGCCAAACTTTGAGGGCAGATTGAGGTAATACATCTATAATTAAATGTTGAATATCTTTATTAATTAATGAGAGAGGTACATAACAAAATGCTCTCTGTAAGATTGTAATAAGAATTAGGACTTGTATCACTTGATTCACATGTGCCTGATGACTAACACACACACCCCCCTACCTTACCCCTTTATATATAATAATAGATAAGAAGATATGAAGGGGATATTAAACATCAGGCACCTGTAACTTGACTGTACTCTCGTATTGTGACTGAACTTTTTAGGCTGCCATTTCAGATATGAAATACAGGCATAATATGCGTCTTTAAACATGAAGATAAAAATTTTAAGTCATATCGGTATATATTTTCTGTTGTAGAAATTACAATGTTTTATATATTTCTTGTTGAAAAATAATGTTTCATAAATTTCTTGTTAAAAGTCATGAGAATAAAAATAGTTCTGTAAAAAATAGATGTGTTTGTCTTTATTACAATCCCACAAATATCCTAATTTGAGCGGCGTCATGACAAAACCAACATAATGGGTTTGCGACAAGCATGGATCCAGACCAGCCTGCGCATCCGCGCAGTCTGATCAGGATCCGTGCTGTTCGCTATCAGTTTCTCTACTTGTAATAGGGTTTGTAAGCGAACAGCATGGATCCTGATCACACTGCGCGGAGGCTGGTCTGGATCCATGATGGTCGAAAACACATTACGTTGGTTTTGTCATGACACGGCTCATTTGTATTTTGCTATTTGCAATATATCTAAATATAAATAAAATACTGCACATTTGTAACATTGTTTTTATTGGGTAATCATGACGTTTATATATTCTTTATACAGGACTACAGTTGATTTTTTCATGTTTTTCACTAATAATGGAAGTTTGCAGTATTATGAGCTGGTAATAGACATTTTTGACAGGCTTATAATATGGATGTCTATAAATGATAATTTTCAATATAACAACTATTATATAGTGCCATATAACCTGTCAAATATATAACTAGTAATATTACCTCAGTGATGCTGTACTCCTGAATTTTCATTATATTAATTTCATTACATGTACACTGATTAACTGCTAGGTTATCAAAAGAGTTTTATTTTATTGATGTGTTTAGACCAAAAGTAAATTAAAATTGATGGTGTCAACATTTAATACGTTAAGTACATGTCATCAATTGATGTCCTGAAATATTTTATCATGGATTGGTCCTGATGATTTATACAAACCAGTTGTTTAATGGAGCAATAAAAGCTCTAAAAATTAAAACTTTTTGAATTAAAAAAGAAAATCACTGGTTTCTTTCAGTGGCAAGTGTTAATAAACCAAACAAGCAAATTAAATCAATAATGCAGTACTTATTTCTATTCTTCTTTGTGACAAGTCACTGCATGTGCAATTTGATAAATTTCCAACTTAAATTCCAGTTAAAAGTGATAAAGTATTTATGTGGTTCTTCTATTTATTCAAATTTAATGCCTCTTTTTCCCCTTTTGTTCGATAATTGTTGTAGACCCTGCAATATTTCTCCTCTTTCAGACATGTTTAATGGTCATTTTTCTCTCACTGTTGATTCAGAAATCATATTAGATAAGTAGTCAGTCACTTGCAGAGAAACTGGTAGTTACTGGTTAAAATTCAAGAAAAGCAGTTAGATGGACCACAGCCAAGATATGACCAAAAATGGTGTTAAAAATTTGCATAAAACCAGACAAACAATAAAAAAAAATGTTTTTCATAATAAGACAAAGTCAATTTTCTGTGTTTGTGAGTTTTTATTTGTTTGGTTCATGGGAGCACAGTTTTATTTCAACAACTTGTCAAATGTTAAAATAAATAACAAAAATATATATACACAATTGTATAGATAAATGGCGCATCCTTACAATTTAAAATCACCATCACAGAAACAACTATACTGCTTCTTCACAGATGCCATTTTAAAATATAAAAATCAATTCCAAGCTAGGATTCTTTACATAATCCTGTTTAAGATACTAGGTACAGAATACTTTAAGTAGTTAGAAATTAAAAAAGATTTGTTTGCAGAAATCACTTTTGTGAAATTATCTTATATTTAGTGAATTCCCTAAAAATCCTGTTGATTTGAATAGTGCAACATGGGTATTTTTTCTCTGTATAATGAGCAATTTCAAGAGACACAAAAATTACATGTAAAAAGTGTGGACAAGTCGTCAGACAAACACATTAATTCACTTATTTTTCTTAATCTATTCAATCTAAAAAATTGGAATTATCTCCCTTTGGCAGAATGAAATATATGAAAAACCAACTTTAAAAAATCTTAGCTTACAGCAAAAAATTGAATTATCTCCCTTTAATGATGACTGAGTTATATTTATAACATATTAGCAAGAAAATTTTGTTGCATTTTTTTGTCTGTCATTTAAATTTAGACATAAAATAAAAAACAATTTATTAGAATTTTTTCTTAAACATACCAAATCATTACCCAAACAATAGATGCATCATGCATGCAATAATTTATTATTTTTAAATACTTCAAACAAATTCAACTTTTGATATTTTTGTAATTTTTTTGAAAATTTTATTTTCTTAAATAAAAGTTGTAACACTATAACAAGAAAGTAACTAAATAACTAACAAGTAAAGAATTCTGAGAACTTTTTAATCCCTGCAAACAATACAGTTTTTATCATTAAATGGACTACCTGTTTAACAAAGGCAGTGATTTTTCTATAATACTACAAAATCAGTCATTTATTGCACATAACATGCAAGTTATTAATTGAATTTTGAATCTTTTATCTTTTTTAATTGTTAGTATTTTTTTCTCAAAGTTGATTTTCATGGAATAGTTTGGCTTATCTTAAGGCATGCAGGTATAATAATTAATTTATCAGTATCAAAATGATAAAATTCTTGTCCCAGAGCAGGATTGTAAATCAAGGAACCAGCTAAAAAAATTGTTTCTGCATTATTCAGGGAAGAAAAATAACTGTTTTTAACTTAAAATTCAACTAGAACTATCACTAAATGTGATTAATACCCCCACAAGACTGCTTCAGAAATGAGGATGTTACTAGTAACAGAATACCTTGTAAAAGAATTGAAATATAGAGTTATGGTTGTGGGTAATTAGATAGTTGTGGTTCTTGTATGTTGCATTTCCTTTCAATGTGGTTGGCCATTGATGAAGTTTTATTGAATTACTCTGTAATAAGTCCAGAAAGACAACGAAAAGAAACAAAGGGCAATAACTCTATAAATACTGAAGATGGACTGCACTTCCTCTTATTGTGCTTGACCATTGTATGAAGTTGTTTTGTATTCCAACCAGTATGTTTTAAGTTATGCTTCAGACAAGGAAAAGTATCAAAGGGCAGTAACTCTGTATTTTGTCAAAATGGAGTTATGGCTCTTGTGCACTGCACATCCTTTTAATGTCCTTGACAACTGTATGAAGTTGTATTGAATTTTAAACAGTAGTTTTCAAATTATGCTCTGGACAAGGAAAAGTAGCAAAGGGCAATAACTCTGTAATTAGTCAAGATGGAGTTATGGTTCTTGTGCACTGCACTTCCTCTCAATGTGCTTGACCATTGTATGAAGTTATATTGAATTCCAACTATTAATCTTCAAGTTATGCTCCAGACAAAAAAAGCAATGGAAAAGTAACACAGGACAATAACTCTGTAATTACTTTAGATAGAGTTATGGTTCTTGTGCACTGCACTTCCCCTTATTGTGTTTGACAATTGTATTGAGTTGTTTTGAATTCCATCCAGTAGCTTTCAAGTTATGCCCCGGACAAGGAAAAGAAACCAAGGGCAATTACTCTGTAATTAGTCAACATAGGGTTAGAGTTCTTGTGCACTGCACTTTCTCTCAATGTGCTTGACCATTGTATGAAGTTATATTGAATTCCAACTATTAGTCTTCAAGTTATGGTCTGGACAAAAGAAAGGAATGAAAAAGTAACAAAGGGCAATAACTCTGTAATTACTTTAGATAGAGTTATGGTTCTTGTGCACTGCACTTCCCCTTATTGTGTTTGACAATTGTATGAAGTTGTTTTGAATTTCAACCTGTAGTTTTCAAGTTATGCCCCGGACAAGGAAAAGTAACAAAGGGCAATAACTCTGTAATTAGCCAAGATAGAGTTATGGTTCTTGTGCACTGCACTTCCTCTCAATGTGCTTGACCATTGCGTGTAGTTATATTGAATTCCAATCATTAGTCTTCAAGTTATGCTCCGGACAAGGAAAATGCAACGGACGTCTGGACCGACCGACCGACCACCGGGTGACTCCTATATACCCCCCCAAACCTTGTTTTTGGGGGTATAAAAACAACATCTTAACATAAAAAAACTTCAACAAAGCAGACAACAGAAAATAAATGACATCACACATGACATCGCAGAAAAGTTCATGACATCATTCCAACAAACACATAGCACTTGGCTCAACTATTTCTTCAGTAATATTATCATAATGCTGACGTTAACAGTGTTTTGTGGACTAGTGATATACTCATTCAAAAATGTCGCAAATTTTGCATTTACATTTTCAGAATGAAAAAAGAACAGTTAAAAAAAAATCTCCTTTTTCTGCGATATTAATGAATAATATTGTGCATCCAATACTGTTGTGCATTTGCAAGTAGAAAACATTTCCAGCAAATTGAATAATTCATTGCAAGGATTGTAAAAATACTTTTTTTTTGCTCAGTAACAGGCAAACATAAATCGTTCTTTAACAAACAAACTGGGACCTGTGAGTGCAATTCTGTTCCTTTCAAACTGTAATTCAGTTCCACTAAAACGTTTTTATAAACTACAAGCTTTTACGATATCACATTTTGTTTTTTCTGAAGCTGAACTACTACCAGAACGGGATTTGTTAAAAGATTCGGTAAATTATCCTAAAACAATATTTTTTATCATCTAGGAAATTCACTTTGCCATTCCTCACGTGGCACGTGCTCAAACAAAGCCGCACGGTTTTGATTGTCTGCTTTCTTCACCCAGTGTCCGTACATTTTGAAAGCACAACCGTCGAGAAGTTTGCGACAAAATTTAACACTATATGGATTAGTCTGAAGAACATCTATAGAAACCGGGGGTGGGTTGTTGAAAAAGAACTTCAGTCGGTAGAAGAAATTCACACACAGTACAGCAGCCTGAAAATGAACAATTCAATAAAATAAGCATTCTATTAAAGGGAAACAATCCATTAGAGACTAAATTAAATCCGTTTCAGTTTCCTCCCTTGTAGAATGATAAAGACAATATATTCAGGCTGTTCAATCAGTTTTATTTCATAAGACTATTGATTATAATAACAAAATCAATTAGGAGGATAATCTTGGATAAAACAAAGAAAGCCATTAAAAAAGTTTATTAATCTACTACAATAGTCAATCTTTTACACTGACAGTTTTTCTTTTTGTTTATTTTTTATTACGTACATGTTTATATATATTTTTGAAAAAAAATTTGATTGTTTACCTTAAAATGTTTCTTGGCTTCGAATTTCTTCTCTGGAGTGATCTGAAATAGAGAAAGACAAACATTTTAACATCAAACCGAACTTCATTACATAAAGTGAACAGTTTACTTGCACATACAGGCACATCAAATACATTTTCAATCAACTATTTTCCTTTAAGCAGATTGACAATAACCACTAGTAGCAGACGGACAATATTCACTATAAGCAGACGGACATTTTCCATTATAAACAGAATGATAATTCTTACTATAAGCAGCTGTACAGTTTTCAATAAGCAGACGGACAATTCTGACTATAAGCGGACAACTTTCTTTTACCTGAATTCAAAATACCACTTGCATCCAAGCACAAACCAGACTACTTTGACGTCAATGAACTTAAAATTCTTTTTCTAAGTTAAAATGCAACATTTCCATAGCAACCAAATTTCATCAGGAAAATTGAATTGGAAAGAAATGTCTGTTAGAAATGTTTTCCAATATCTAACGGCTAATCTGTCAATTTACTAGATGCGCATTACGTTGCACAGATCGATCGTGACATCAATGTCATTACCTCAAAGCTCCTGTTAAACAAAAAAGCTTGTTATCTGCCAAATACGCAAAAAGCACTTGATTAGGAAACTCAAATGTGATGGCCGACATACCCAAAGTTTTTTTCCCTAATTTCTTATTTAGTCAATACTTAAACTTAAAATTTCTTCATTTGCATAGTGGAAAAGGCCTACTTTTACTTTATAACTGTCCATTAGTTTGAACTTTATAATCAAGAAATAACCAGTTTATAGTATATGAAAACTAATATGGTTAGTTTAATTTATACAAATTATATTTCTTACAAATTATATTTAGTTTGTGTTGGAAGCTGTAAGCTTATTGAAACACTCTCGAATACATTCCTGGAACAACCAGTACTAAGCAATGAGTGTTATTAATAAGTTTCTTGCTTACGGAAACTACAGCTTGCGCCTGACAAAGTTTGAACCCATGCAGTCACCAATACTTAGATAACTAGTCTGACATGTTACCACTTGGCCACACAGCCACTCTATATATATTTAAACTAATAAAATTTTTGTAGACTTTTTGTTGTTAATGTAAGTTTTCCATTAAAAACTTTAAAGTCAACACCTTAAAAATTAGCTACCGGTACACCATATTTTGTTATTCTATGCACGTCCAAAAGTTGTTTACGTGACAAACAAATTGTCTGCATCTCATAAAACTAGAAGAGCAGCAGACGCCTCTGTTTTTTCTTAAGGCAACACCAAAAAAAACCTAATGACATTTATGGGTAATATCTGATTTCCCAGACTTAAATTAAGAATTTTAAAGTAAACAAGATGATTGAAATGCTAGTTACGGGGGCAGTTGTTTACCTCAATAATGTCTACAATATCTATTTGACTATCTTTTGAAATCATGGTAAAAGGAAAGTAAAGCCCCAAAATCAATTCTTAGAAACTATTTTCATACACTAAAATATGTATTTTAGATATCTTGAATTTTTCTACTTTTCTTTGAAATCATCTCAGAAAAGAAATAGTTTGTAAATCTAATAAGTAAGAAATTGATTAATTTAATTTTACGAAATAAATTTGAATAGTTTTTACCAAGTATTCCTCAAAACAAAACGTTTCAGAAGGCATTTTATATGTAAATTTTTGACACTTAATCCTAGAAAACTTGCAACTTTTGTCATTTAAATTTGCACAACATATCCTTTCAAATAAATCATCTTTTTTCCCCTATTTTTACTCTTTTCATGATTTCATTTTATCTAATATCTATAATTATACATAAATAAATATACATGTGTGTATACCTATATAGTTATAAATTAGGTAATATCCTTAATTAAGCAGGCCAGTGACCCAAGTATTTTGTCACATTTTATATCAAGATAATCGTAAGTCAATCATTTTGACATGAGTGCACTTCCTTCCAGGACCCCCCGCCACCCATAAAATTAATTTTATCACTGCATCAAAACACCCCTCATACTACATAATTCATCATCTTTATTATCCCCTTTAAACCATTTTACAGTAAATTATTCTAAAAATGGCCTACAGCGCATACCTAACCTACAACACATTTACAAATTTATAACAATTAATTTCAACATTTTATCCATTTAAATTTGAATGCAGACGCATCGATCATAACTTCTGTCGTCTGCCTGTCAAACGTGCATAGATAAAGTATTGATAATATATAATTAAACAGGTAACCCGATTTTATCAATTTGTTAACAATTACATAGGCAATTAAAATATCTATATTTGAAGTGCATAAAGAAATGCACCTTCGTCATGAATCTTTCAAAACATTTATCTGTTTGAATTATTCATTAATAAATGATTAATGTCAACTTTTTTTCTTGCATTCTTTTCTTTGCTTTGTTTAATTGTCGAAGGTTTCCTCTATTTTACCATTAACACTGCCAGATACAAAAAAATCTTGCATCCTTAAAGTATGTTTACAAAATGTCTAAGTGTCTGTTTCCAAGTTTGCACCAAAGTTGATTAAACTTATCAAACTTGTATTTTGTCCTCTCCCTTTGAACTAGGGAAAAATAAATGGATATCAAAGACCAAAATACCCAAACAGGGAATGTATTAGGGTAGTAGTGTTTTGGATAGGTGTCTGATGCTTGCAGCTTAAAATATCATTTACTTTTTTTTTAAAAATGAAACTTCTAATTCAGGAAATAAACGAAAAATATTTTGGAGAAAAGGCCCAAAATTAGTAGCTTAAAAATTTAAAATGATAAAAAGTGAAATAAAATTGTTACAAATCCAGATTTTCTGTACATATTTCATAACAAAAGGCCATTACTTTTGCCAAAAATGATCAAATAACAATATGAAAATGTGCTATAATACCAGGGCATATTGAAATCCCTTAAAAAATGTTGGCGTTGTGCACATAAAAGAAATTGTTTACAGCCAGCCACTAACATCTGCAAATCTAGGAACCATTGTTAATAAAAATATCAATAGGTTCATAAAGATGGTAGTTATGTCACGATGGTAATACAGTAACAGTTTGAGGGTTGACCGCAATACTGTAGTAACTTATATGAAATAAAGAAGAACTTACAACAGTTTTGCGATCAACCCTTGGAACTATAATCAGCTAGTTATCATGACATAATTCTGTTTAACTTACATCTATATGAAAGAACGTGTGCGCCAGTGCTTCCTTTGCTGTGAGTCTTTTTCTAGGGTCAACAACTAACAACTTGGAAATCTGAAAAACAAACCAACAAAACACAATGTAAAATTATCTTTTTAAATATTTAACTAGAATATCAATTATTCCTTGGTTTTGGCATTAAGAAAATAGTACATTTAATAAGTTATACCATAAATGCAGTTCTTTTACTGTGGTCAAATGACATTATATATGCCAACATCTCCAATATTCTTTATATAACAGCTCAGTGGAAGGCAAGAGAGGGGCAGCAAAAATACAACTAAAAGTCTAAAAAACAGATAGATATTTTTGTATAAAAACAAAAATCTTAATATATCAATACTTTTGTATATCCGAAAAACAAACAACATTATATTTTGTTCCGGCTTTTACGATTTATTTAAAATATTTCAATATCCGCACATACAACAGTCCTCAGGTTACAATTAAAATATTTAATCCAGCAACCAATTGTAAAGTCAAACCACATAAAGATTACCATTCTATTAATAATCTTAAACAATACTGATAGTGATATTTCGGTAAAGAAAAAAAAAATCGGTCAAGTCATAAATGCACTCTTGTCTTATATCATCGTATTTATCAAAATATGATATAATCATGCATGTAATTTGATAATACACTAACTTCAATTCAAACCTGACGTCATTTTTAAAGATAGATGCAAAACTGTCCTAAATTTGTCATAAAATTCAAAAAGTTACATCAGTAATGAACTGAACTTTTTGATTTACATGCAGTTACGTGAGAATTTGAACGAAAAATTTTGTCAAAATAGATAATGCTTCCTTTGCATAGCATTGAGATATTTATAATGATAGTCTAACCTTGCAAAATTTTTTTTTTAACTAAATGCGCAGAAAAGTTGAAAAGAAACTAGACTGCATTTTAGTCGAACAAAATTATCAACAAAGTTTTACTCAAATTAATTTTTGTTTTTCTTACGTTGTTATTTATTATTTCAAAGCAATTTAAAATTCTTTGTCATACTGAAAATATCAATGTCACATGATTCAGTGACTTAAAAAAAGTTTATTTTTAACAAGTCTGCCACCTAGGGTTGAGTCGATGACTTTTCAACATTAAAGCAAAAAGGAAAACATCCAATCCATCAATTTATGTAAGAAGTAATGTGTCTGTGAATGTGTCTGTGACACAAAAGGTTGGTAGATATTGATTTGGTCTGTGGGATGTTTCTCTCTTTCAATATTTACAATTTTTTTTTCCAAACATGGCATCGAAGTAAAAATGTATAGTTTCTAACGTCATATACAGATACATTGTACTACCCAGAGAAAAGGCCTAAAGAGTTTTTTTAAATATAGCTGCTGACATATAAAAATTCAGTTATTTAATTCTTCCATGTACTTATTTCATATTTCTGAAACTTTTTAGAAATGTATGAGGTTTGGGAAATAAGAATTTACACTTATTTTCACTGTAGAATTTTAGCAAATTGTACAATTTAGTGACTTTTCAATTCATTCTTCTGCTTCAAAAACTAATATTGTACTTTAACCTATGTACCAACATTTTAATTAAACAGGAAATAGTTCTGAAAATAAGCTTTTTATATATCTGTAGGTTCCAATCAAGTCAGTGCATTAAATATTAAATATCACATGTGAAGAAGCTATTCAGATACAGGTTACAGAAGTTCAGTGATTCTACTCATGTACCAAACCAGCTTGTCACTAAAATAATGCCGAGGGGCACACCACACCTGAGGTATTCTTTCACCAGTAAAGCTGTGAAGTCACCTATAACCTTAACAGTGTTAAGTGGTATAAAACCAGACCGAAAGAAAAAATACCAACCAGATCTTTTGGTGATTGACTGACGTCGTCCCACTCGGGGCTCCCAAATTTATAATTCCCTTGCATTATCATTCGTAACATTTGCATTTGTTTTCGATGCCAGAAAGGTGGCGCTCCACACAGTAATGTATACATAATTACACCACACGCCCACATATCTACCTCATGTCTGTACCCTGGGACATTGTCGTACATAGATACAGCCAGTACTTCCGGTGCAAGGTAACCCGGTGTTCCGCAGAGTTCTACAAAATAGATGTGATATTTGTGATAAAAATGTGGATAATAAACTTTGTGAAATAATGCTTGAAAATCTCTTAAATTTGTTTAATAGATAGTGCTCTAGCATCAATAATGACTTGCCTATAATATCATATCACTTTAGAGTCATCAGTCTAGCCTTTGCAGTCTGACCATGACCAGGCTCTATGATGTTTGCTGCTATATTTCATTTTAGTGTCCAGCTTTTATTTGTCATCCAATGAAAACGCTGTATTTCTTAAGAATTGTGCGTGTTAATTTTCATAGAAGAACAAAAGTCGATTATATCAAATTCCGTTCATAGTCACTTCTATTTTTCATAGTACTTCATAGAACTGCATAGTGACATAATTAAGTGAATAATAATGAGGCCAAATAAAGCTTGACACTAAGTTTGTTAGTATTCATCCGTGACTGTTCTACAGAAATTAGAAACATCCTCCCGTCACTATCGCTTCTGTTGAAGTTTTTAATTTCTGTAGAAATAGCACGGATGAACACTAACATATACATATAAAACATTATATTGATATGGAAATTCAACCAGTTCAAAACAATTATTAACATGATCATGTTTATTACAGAAATTCAGCAACATGTTGGTTAAAGGGTTACATAGCAGTTCTCAAAATCTGCACTCATCAGAAGAACTAGGACATTACTTTCACTTTCATATGATTAACCAAAATTTAAACTTATTCCATTAAATAACGAGATTCTTGCCTAACTAGGACTCTTGTTTCTGTTTCATAAAGATAAGATTGTTCAAATCAAAGCAGAAAATCTAATTATAGAAACACAAGATGCACTTGATTTATATCAAGTTGCCCACTTGATTAAAATAAATAGAACTTGTTCAAACTACACATGATTTATAAACAAGCACATTCTGTTACATCCCACATTGTCAATAGAGAAGTTTACAGAGTGCTTTTAAAATCTGACATTTAACATGTGCAAGTACAAAAAGCAAATACTTAACATTTTTGTATCAAAAGATTGGAAATATTTGAATAATAAACCTGAACCTAATGTAAGATTACAACTATTCTGGTACTTAAATAAACTTAAGAACTATTTGTCTAGTTTTTTCTATGGGTCAGCATAGTATGGAAGTCTAGCTTACCAAACAATAATATACAGTCATGTACATAATTCTAAACCAAGACTTGTCCTTGACAATTAAGTATCAACTACCCCACTGCTTGTTAGAATTACAAGTCCCATTTACTGAAAATTATAATTTGAACCCGACACATTGAAAGTAATGTTTTTCCTTTAAAGGGCTTTACTTGTTAACCTTTCATTTACAACCTGAATTGTTTTATACCTTAGCTTGCTTGCAGCAAATACCACTGCAAAAAGTGCAGACCAAGGTTGGCCGGTACATCTGTTCTATCTGATCATGGTCTGCATTGTTTACATATCAATTATTACATACTTGACCCACAAGTATCTGTGCCTGTGGATACATGTAGCCACTGACTATATATTAAACACAAGGAAGAAAAATTAACAGTATTCTAATGTATAAGCTAGAGTTTACAACATAGATGTATATTGGAATTTTATACAAAGGCTCAACAATATTAATTTTATGACAGTGTGCAGGAACAATTATGTATTTTTTTTATTTATGTGTCACTGGTTTTCTATTCTCATCTGTTTTAATACTCTATATATAAATTATCATTATAATAACAGGTATGGCAATTTGTCTGGTTTTCTTACACACTGCAATTTATGCATTCCAGCTTTTTTTAATTAACACGCCTCTGAATTCACTCCACCAATTTACAGTAAAATCTTTTGCTTGAAGAATGCCACTGAATAAAGGCTGTAACAAAATTTTAATGGTGTAAGTAACAACCCCAACACAGGACTGACTTATATAAAGTAGATAAAAAAGAAGGCTTGTTTGTTTGCTTTAGAAAAGGACCAGTCTGCTCAAGAATTTCGGTCGTATTATTTGTAAGTACTAACAAGTGTTTTTTACTTTATGTGCTGGCTTTCACCCAAGTTGTATCTTTGTATCAGCCATAGAGGGCAAAATGACCTTTTTCCTTCCCTCCTGAGAATACCAGGACGGACCAAGTGACTGTGATGTTTCAACCCATTCACTTCAAGAGTTTTGGGGAAATCAACTTGCACGCTAAAAATTACCCACAGTGTGACGCCGATGCCCATGCCTGGGTAAGTGCAACAGCTCTCTCAATTCTTTAAATAGTCAAGCTAATAAATGGGAGTTAAATATCAAAATAATAAAATACATTTAATCACTGAACCGTATAAAATCTGATTGTGCTGGCTGACCTTGGCATTGGCTGGTCATTATATTTTTGTTTGGGTTTTAAGTCGCACCAACACAGTATAGGTCATATGGCAGCTTTCCAGCTTTACTGGTGAAGGAAGACTTCAGGTGCCCTTCCGTGCATCATTTCAGGCATGAACTAACAGGCAGCTGAATAGAACCACAGACGTTCCACGTAAGATAGCAGGTCATTATTGATGTTAGCATTAAATGTTTATAGAATGCTAATTGCATGTTTATGATTAAGATGGAACTATCTGTATGCACATGACCATGTTAAATAATTTTATCAGTATTTTCTGATATTATCTTACCTGCTAATTCTTCATTTGGACCAAGGACTGTAGCAAAACCAAAGTCAGATAGCTTCACATTCAAATTATCATCTAAGAGTATATTTTCAGGCTGAAATAAAAAATAAAGAAAGGTATTGAATTTGTTTTCAATTGGATAACACTCTGTCATATGGAGATTTTTAGCTTCATTGGTAGATAATACCAGATGCCCATTGGAATGCTGATACTTCAAGTACAAGTTAGTACCTAGGCAGACCCACACACCAGCAATTCACATCAGCAGTTCACCAGACCTTGAAGATACCTTAAGATGCCTTGAAGATACCTGGAGGACACAGTTAAGATACCTTAAAGATACCTTGAAGATACCTTAAAGACACCTTGAAGATATCTTGAAGATGCTTTGAAGATGCCTTGAAGATACCTTAAAGATACCTTGAATATACCTTAAAGAAACCTTGAAGATACCTTAAAGATACCTTGAAGATACCTAAAACATACCTTGAAGATGCATAATTTTGTCACAATGCTAATACACACCGCTCATCATTCTTACCATCTAGCACACATTGAAGTTCAAATTTGAAAACCACATATATCAAGGACCATGTGACTCAACATCAGCTATCTTTCCTTCCTCACAATTAAAACTACTATTTCACCAAAGGCAAGACATTTAAGTCACATATAAACACAAATATCATTCATACAATATTTTCTTCCCTATAAAATGGATCACCAGTCATACATGTACAAAATTTAATGTACCTTCGATATAAAATACCATTAAAATTATTTTAAAGTTGTTTTAAGTTACTATATATATTTGGTTGCTAAGACAACAACTTGTTTGCATTCATTTACAGCTCCAAGCAAACAAACACAAGTGTTTTATTTTCTTTAATTAAGCTGAATTCAAATACGAGGGCAGATGGTTTTAAAGGCCCGTTATTCCTCAGAATTAAATGCTGTATCATTTTTTATTTCTCAAAAACGTTTTATTTTTGGTATCTTGTTACTGTCTCTAGAAAATACTCATTTTCCATATACATTTCCTATCTTTTGGTTTGGCAATTGGTATAATTATACTAAGAGATCTAGTATTTGTCAAATTACTACTTTGTTTACATTTTGTTACCTAATTTCAACATACTGTACATTCAGTACTACTTTCTTCAGTTGTTCTACATTTAATATGCTCCTAATCCATTATTAAAACATGTTAAAATTGACATTGTTATACATTTTTAAAGAATTTTAAAAAGTACTGATTTTCGATGCATGATGTGCCTTTAACGTAAACTATACTACTGTAAACGTCATAGAATGTGCGACAGATGTCTCAGGAATGTTAAAACGATTTTTTACACGATCTCTAATCAAGATGTGAACTAGATAGAAGGCACACCTTTATTGAATTTGCATGTCGTGTTTACATATGATGAATGTTTGTATATTAGACGTTTAACAATATCAACATGATCATAATTTTGAAGTCATAGGGGCGAATTTTCTAACATTATAAGAAACTGTTTGATCAACCATGAATATTTTTACTTGTATCATAAAATCATTTACTTAAATATTATTATTTACAGATAAACCTGTCAAAAAAGGCTGTTCTTGGCAAACAGAAAACAACATTATGTTACAAGTGATTTCTTAATGCAGGTATTCTTGCACAAGGGGTTTCTTAACACAAGTATTCTTGTACTAAAATTTACAGATACATTGTTGGCCTTTAAGTCAAGTTTTCTTCTTTTCTAAATCATCTATACTTGGACAAGATGTGATTTGTATTAGTATGTTTAAACACACTTAAGGTAACAAATATACATATAAATCAATCTTTTACATTATAAACATTTCATAATGTCTTATTATATTTCTTAAACGCGAATGAAAATCTTAAGTACGAATTTTTCCAATTATTTGTGAGCTTAATTTATCTTTAGCCGATTTCACAGTAGTACTCAATTTAACAGACTTGCAAACAAAAATCAATTGTTACCAAAATGATTTAATTAGTTTACCAGGAAAACCGCACTCATAATCAAAATCAAGTCCGTGCATTTTATTACGCATATAAAATCTATTTATAGCAACAACGGTAATTTCATTGTGAATACCTAGATGACAATGAGAAGCAATAATCAGATGTCATTGACATATTGGGACGTTCCATAAATAAACTACAAAAGATAATATTGTCTGATAAATCAACCTCCGTCTACAAGATTTATTACACGAGTTGAAAATGTGACCAAAAAACAGTAATTAAATGTCTACACTTCATCCTGCACACCTTCTATAGATGCAATTCACTTCCCACGCGCAATCATTTACAAGGAAATAAAAAAGTCAAGTTTCTACAAGGGCGGTATTTCATTTGAAATAGGAGTTTAAGTTAAATTCACTGTGAATGACACAGAATTAATTCAGGGAATTACTGATGTTTCATTAACGAACATCTTACAAATGATTTCCCATGCCTTTGAGATAAAAATTCGTTTTCACATCTTTCTTTAACTTAAACATTTAATAAATGTACTACAAATCTGACATGGATTTTGTTGCCACTCAGCTACTGGGTGCATCAACTTCTTTCATGCTTTACTAGAGACTATAAATCTGAACAGAGGCACAGTGTAGAACCACTTGCCATCCTTTTGACTAACAGGCCGAAGGTGGGGATTTTAGATGCCACAGCCCGGAAATTGAAAAATTGGAGAATTTTGCCCCAGGTCGGGGATGTGGCATATATATTGAGGGCTTGGTGCGAAAGGATTGTAACTCATGTTACATAAAGGAGATACGACCCTTTCACACCAAGCTGTCTAAATGGGTCATACTGACATGGTTAATGCAAATTTACATTTATTTTACAAACATATGATTATAATTGTGCAATAAAAGGCAGATGTACAGTGACTCAATATGAATGAATGATCAAACAAATGAATGAATCAACAAATACTTTTATTCTTACCTTTAAATCTCTATGAACTATATTTTTGCTATGTAAATACTCTACAGCTGTTAGTAACTGTTTCATAATGACTCTGAAAGTACAAGAACAGAAAATCATTATGTCAGATAATTGTTATAACTGAAAGTATAGTATACATGTAAGACAATATCCCTTTTGTATACTAGCAACTATGCCAGACTTGCCTTTATTTTATGTAATGAGCCAAATGAGCCCATGAGTATCTGAGCAATTTTACCTGGCTTTATAATTATACTGATTGTTGCTTAAGTTAATTAATAACCCATACACTGCTAAATGTATAAAATGGACTTGTCCATCTTTCAATCTTTCAATCTGGACCAAACCCAAGCATTCATTATTTTTAGGAAAAATTTCAACAAAAAAAAGTTTTGACAGATCAGTGCACCTTTGTCATGCCAGATCTTGTTCTGCACTGGGCGCCTAGGTATATTTAGTTGTTGCAAGCTGGCATAAAGGGTTATAATCAAAATCCCTCATATTCAAACAGTAGTTAGCATTCAGGCCACAGGTGGCAGTATCAGTGTTTGGACACCCCACACTTATCTGCCCCTGGACCCCTACTACAATCCTGAAAAAAAAATAATTCAACACTCTAAGGCTTAGTAATTTCCACTATCAAAATTATAGTTATAGAAAGGTGAAAAGCCTACTATATGTTCATTTGCCAAACAATGTGGAACACGGGAAATCGTCGTTTCGGCGACTGAGGCGCTGTGATTTAGGCAAGTCTAATATTCAAATTTAGTATATTGAGGGATGTAGGGATGTAAAGTATAATGTACTTATGTAGATCACAGGTTAGGTGTGGTCCAGAAATCGAGATCCTAAATTGAAGGATATAACTACTTGACTTTAATATATCATTAGTGTCTGTGACCTTTCATATGTCCATTTGTGTACACATATATTTCATAGATACTATATGTATAACTATAAATATAATGCCAAGAAAAAGTAATTTCAAATATTTCTAGCGACATAGATACAGCATTTTCCTCCGATATTCCTTTTTAAAAATTGTGATTAAATACCATTTTTCAGCAAAGAAAAAAGTTAATGAGATTCACTGGTGTTGAAAATGTGTATCATTATTCTAAGCGAGCTGCAGTTTCATCACATTGCATTTACATTTTTTTTTGGTGGGTGGGGTGTGATATATTAGTGATGACTCAGCAATATTTACAAATCTAGAAAAAGCAAGATAAAACTCTATCCATTTAACTAGAAAAATTGATGTAAACTTCCTTTGAACTTGGTAACCTCCCATTAAGCTACCAAACTTCCTCTTTTTTCCTGTTTATATAAACTTTGATACTCTAATTTTTCTGTTTATATAAACTTTGATACCCAATTTTGTTTCTGTTTTCTACTAAAGTTTTTTTGCGGATCAAAACAAGAAGGAGCAGATAATGATCTAACATGATAAAAGCAGACACAATTTTTCAGTAAAAAAATATTAATCATTTTTTGGCAGAAATAGTTTATAAAAATAAGCAAGTGTTCTGGTTAAAGAACTAAATGATCATTGCACATTAGTCTATATGAAAATATGTTCCACTTGGTAATTTATTGGTTTAAATCAAAATTTATTGACAAGAATAATTTCATGTCATAGAACTGACTTTTAATTGTGAAGTAATTGATAAAGGGTCAACAAAAACTTTTACAGATAATCTACTTGCCCTTCACCGCTGTGGGTTCGAATCCCGACAGGGACGAAACGTTGGTGGTTCTACTCAGGTGCCTGTTTGTGCCTGAAAAAAAGCATGGAAGGGCACCCGAGGTCATCCTCCACCAATAAAGCTGAAACGTTGCCATATGACCTATACTGTGTCGGTGTGACGTAAAAAATCGTATTAAACAAATTAAACAAGATAATCCACACATTTACTCAATGATGACCCAACATTCCAAAGTATGACTTTTACACAGTAACTATGTTGTATAAACCCACATATCAAAACATGCTTTAGGATGTTGATTTTTTTACCAGGTAAATATTCATTAATCAGTTACACCTACCTAACAGCATGAGTAACTTAAATAATTATTCAACTATAGGTCTACCATGATAAAATGACAGATTTTAATCTTAATGATATAGTTACACTAGCATCACAACCCATTAGTGACCAATCTGAACAACCAGAATTTATAATTCTAATTTTAGTAAGAATTTCTAATTTATTCTGACCTATGTATAAAGGTAACCAACCTGTCAAGAAAGACCACTTTTATAGGTCTCTCGACAGACAAGTTTGACTGTAGATTCAATATGATAAACAAGCCCTGGTTACTTGATTTCTATTTCTTTTTATGCTTCAATGTTTAGTGACTTTAGTCATCACCTCTTGGCTAAAATCATTCATGGCTGTGACAGTTTTGGTGTGTTACAACTCCCACCTAGCTTAAAGACAAGCTATTTTCCATGCATATTTAAATTTTTTTATTAATATGGCAAATTTGTCATTATTCTTGGACATTAAGCAACATTTATTATTACACCAGTATCCTTATAATGATCACAAGTCAGATTGACTTACATGTATAATTATTTAACAAAGACATTTTGTCAGACTTAGATTTAAACCCTCACAAATGAAAATTTGTACAAATAACATGTATACAATTTTTTCCTCTTTTCTTCTGAATATTTTATTGAACTTTTTTATGCTGCCAAGTCAAGTGACTATGATGCCTGTATTTATGCCTTCGGAGCCATGTATTAAAGTCTCCGAAATCATAAATTGATAACTGAGTCATTTTGACAAACCTATGTGGATCTAACATCTAAACAAACCAGAATAAACTTGATTTTTATGATAGGAATTTGTTCCACTTACCTAGTTCTTTTCTCTGACAATGTTACTACTTGTGTTAGATAATCAAATAATTCACCCTGTTTACATCTGAAATAAACAAAAAGTTTGGAATCTTTAAAACAAATCTTAGATAAGTTATACATATTCATAATGTAAGGCATCTGCTGTATAAACAAATTCATTATAAACCTGTATATCCCTTCACCTGCTGAAATCAAATTAAGTAAGTGATTTGTCCATCTTCCATTTTATTTGGAAATGTCCATTTATCAATTTTTGGGATTTTGACTTTGATCAGCCAAAGCACCTGGTCAGACTACAAAGATGTCCAGGCTGGCTATAATACTGGTGGCAAAGCCTTTACCAGTTTCAGTTCAAGTAGGGCAAGGATTATACTCAGGTGCATGCAAACTTCATAACCCGAGCAAAATAGTCTTGGCTTTTCTAGGACTACACAATTCTTCTCTAGTAACTGCCAACTTCTTAACATCAATGATTTTATCTCTCTTTTAAGGGAGTTTGGTCTTGACTTTTAAATCATATATTTTACAGTGTTCCAATGATCACCACTGTGAACTAATATCATCAATAACAAATGTCGTCTTTAGTTGATTATCATATAATCTCTTTCTTTGGGGAATTGTTACACAAGATCTATTTTAGAATATTAATTGTGATATACTGGAAATTACTACATCACATATAATATAATTATGACAATTAATGAACTTTTCCTTTGTTCAGGACCCATTTACATCATCAATCTGCCAGTAAACTGTTAATTAATGATTTCACACCTAACATATCTGGCACACTTAAACACAAAGTATGACATTTATACCTTATATAAACCTTTCCAAAAATGACGAAAATAAACCCTGTCCGAAAACTAGCACACCTCTGACATCCGCATGATGTTCAGCAAATTATGTATTAATGTCTTCAATCAAAACCCTTGATTGAACATGCATTGGTATAAGTTTTCTTTATAAGGACTTGACATACAGTATAAACATTGTTATTTGGCACTTTGAAACAAAAATTTTGCTTTTCTTTATATACATGTATTTAAATTGAGTTTTTTAACACAGAAAAATTTTACCGAAGAAAAAGCGAAAATTGTTAAAATGGCAAAAAATGTTAAAATAGCAACATGTGAACAGATTGTGAACGGATTGCTTCGAAGGCATGCGATAAAAATCATCAACAGAAACTAATATGACACAAGCTCGACAGCTTGCGGTTTTTAAGTAACAAATTGGCTGGAAAGAACTTTCATTACTTTTCGTCTTGTATTTTCTGCTGACACTGCAGCTTCTTACGTAATTGAAAGGCATTTCGTTAAATCAATATCGTGTTACACAGTTACAAATATATCAAAATCAAGCAAATCTTTTCTTAAAGAAACTGTCAACAGATATTTTAAGGCTAAAACAGAGCTCAAAATAAATCTTTCTGTGTTGCATGAATCGGTGCCATATATTTAGTCAAAGGTTCAAACAAAACAAGTACTCAGTGCGAACATTTAACTAAAGCAATATAAATAGTTATCATGACTCACAAATATTACACATTAAGTAAGTCATTATTGCCACTTTGTGATGATCAATCTATGCAAAATTCACAAGCACTTAACCGAGAAACAGGGAAAGCTAGTAGAAAACATTTAAAGGTACAAAGTACTTCAACAAATCTATTCCTGATTGGTGATAATTCAATGATGACTAGTATTTGCCACTTTTCACCAATACTCGGTTTATCGAAGACATTAACTTCCATCCAAGAATTTTCCTTTTTCAGTAAGTCATAAAACAAGATTTCATGGCATAATTGGCAAAAACGATCATTTCCATATTTGTCTCAATTGACCAGTCAAAACTCCTGTCTTATAAGGGATCAAATATCGGTCACCATTCACAGAGTTAAAATCTAAATATTGGTCACCATTCAGTGAGTTAAAATCTAAATATTGGTCACCATTCAGTGATCTTAAAATCTTAGCCCTGAAAGAACCCTGCAAAGTTCACCAAAGCTAAAATCAATCAACAGTTACATATTTTGGGTCATTTTTATCACTTTACACAGAATACTAATTTAATGACAACTTTTAATCCAATTAATTAATTGAACAGAATATCAATAATTGATCAGTCTATGATAAAGGTTTATGTACCTTAGCCTGGATCCATAATGTTTATTGGTTATCCAACTTTTAAAGAAAGCAAGAAAAAAATTCAAATCCAGTGGTAAAGAACTGCAAATTTCACCCATTTCCAAAGTTTAAATGTCTCAAAGCCATTTCATTATGTCATTTAAAATTGCACACAAGTTTCCATTGTAAAAAAACTTTTTCCAAGATACTATTAATCAGACCTTCAGATGGGCATTCCTATTTACATTTGTAAATAAATATATAAAAATTTGCAACTTTAATTGTAGGATTGAAAAGAAGTAAAGAATGTTTTAACTAAATTCGGTCACACTGAAAAAATAGGTCACATTTCTTTATCTGCAATCAAAATCTAGAATGTGACCTTAATTTAAACTTAAAATTTGTAGGGCATTCATTTACAATTACGTAAGAGTAAGACACTCGTAATTTGTACTTGAGACCAGTTTATCTCTTACCACCCTAAATCATTTTAAATGGACTTGTCCCTGTATCTTTCAATCTGAAGAGAAAACAGTCATCATATTTAGAGATCAAAATATACTGACTGAATAATTGAGAGTGCAAGACCATTAGTACATTCAGTCACTGCCAGCAGGTTAAAGTTTAAGTAAAGCTGAACCGAACAAGATCTGTTTGGGTGTATGAGGGGTGACGAGGCAGGGTGGGGGTGTTTGAGTGTGTGACCCATTCAAGAGAAGTGTGACTGTAAGTCCAGGCTATGGCAAATTTATACATATTCCCTCTTCTCCAATGTTTTTGGTGTGCACTATAAATATAGAATCTTGCCTAACTGTACAACCAGCCTCAGCAGCATAGCTTATAATCAGTTTGAGGCAGGAGACTTGCAATCTCAACATATTGCAAGTTCGAATCCCAGACTGGCTGGCAAAAATTAGTCTATCGGATGAGACTTTAAATCCAGGTCCCGTATATATATGTATGAGTGTTTAAACACTTGGCATGCTAAAGAACCAGGAGAATCTTCTGGAATTGGGGCATATTTCTGTGCACTTTCCTCCAAAAATCCAAAATGACCAATGCCCTTTTGGAGAACTCGTCCATGTGCCCGGCAACCGATGTCACAAGTATAAATAAACTCAAATACACACACAACACTGTACAATGTCCTTATTGAACTAAGTGAACCATCAAAGAGGTTTAATGCCTTTAATACACAATCAATTCCTATCTAGATCAATGAGGTTGTTGTTTATATGCAGAACATACTGCTTTCCTCATAATGAGCCATATAGCAATTGATGAATGACATTACAACATCTGATTGGAATAAAGATTGTCCAATAGTGGACACATTTTTAGTAAACATGTTTACATCAAATCCAATAAAATACAAATCAGAAGACACTGAATCATGATGGACTCGGATTTCGAAATCTACATGGTCTTTCTTCATTGCAAGTTTATGGACATAATTGTCAATCTTTAGAACAGGTAAACTGTGGTCCAGTGGTATTCAAAGGTAATACTGCATTTGACTACATAATAATCATACAGATCAAAAGGTTGCAAGTTTGATCTTTACTTCTCATACAAAAAATTTATAACAAATATTAGAGGACTTTAAAAAAACCTATTCAGTTGTCATGAATGTAACATATATAATATTTATCAAATTGCAAAATTAAATTTCATTAAACAAGCATGCCATATCAAAATCAACAAAAATGGGGGTACAAAGATTTAAAGATTTGCTTATTTTATCACCTACTTTGCAACATTAGTACCTCTTAATCGACTCATGCATCGCCTTATGTAATTATTTGTACCCACTTAACTTGACTTCTACAATTCAGGTGAACATTTTTTCTGTTCAAATTTATGCTGATAGCAGGCTGAATTAAGGATTTACAGTTGCATTGAGAATTGAAGTTAAACTAACAAATGCGAGTGTTAAACTATCAAATCCGAGCATTCAACAAACAAGAAACAAAATGTCACTTAAGTTTATGTCAAGATAAGAGTATTTCACCAAATACTTAATTTAATTTCTCACATACCTTGCATGTCAAACATACAATTTGTCTCCATGTTGTCTGAAATATTGCTTTTGATTATTTCACACATGTTTACTTTATAAATACCTAGAGTAGGAAATTCAAAAGGTCTGATGGTGTGTAATAGTTTCCGTATCTATAATCTGCATGGGATTTAAATTTGGTAAAACTTCCAAACAAGATAATATTTCAGTAAGAGTAATAATACAAAAACTATTACATTTGACAACTTCTCCACAAAAATATCACAAACATCACTTTAAGGGGAACTTTTCAGATGAAATCAATTCTATCCCTATTTTTGAAATAGTGATGTTTTTTAATGTTTAGGTTTTATACTGCAACAACGTATAGGTGACTAGGTCATAGGGGGACTAAATTCCAGCTTTAATGGTGAAGGAAGACCTCAAGTTACCCTGAGACTGTACATTATATTACTTCATGCACAAACAGGCACCTGAGTAGGACCACCCACATTCCGTAAACCTAGCTGAATAGCTTTCTCACATGTATACTATAATCCAACAACACTTGCGTGGCTTGAACCTACAGTGACGAGAGGCAAGTGGTTTGAAGTCAATGACCTTCACCATTCGGCCTCCGTCTCCCCCTCAAAAAGTGGGGTTAAGAAATGCACGTTTAAGATTTTTCTCTTATCACGATTCATGAGCATGATATAATAATGACATTTGGCAAGTGCATTCAGTTTACATGACTGTACATTATATCATAAACCCAATGTTAAATTTGTAAGACATGAATAGTTTACAAAGACATGCACATGAAAAGAAAACACGTTGAAAAATGCAGATATTGCAGTTGTATTTGGTCTCTACCGGAAATACAAAAACAAAGAAGATTTTTGTTGTGATAATTGTCGTTGGCTAATTAGGATGAAATAACAGACAAGTGAAAGGTAACTGACATACCCTTTCAGGCAGGAAAAGGACATAAAAATTTTTGTCTCACTCCTGAGTACATTGTAAATGCCTGAAATCAGTTTGTTACTGGTCGAATCTGCTACCCACCAGTTCTGAATATTGAAATCCCTGTTATACTAATGGTGTAATATGAGTACATTTTACATTGATTCTTGAACTATTTGTTGCTATTATAAGGGATTTAATAATTATCGGTCTGATTGCACAAACGTGTACCATGATGGTTGGTTCTTTTCTTGTGACAGAGGGCCACAGGAGGATGAGATTATAAATTTAAAATCTAAACCATTTTTCTGATCACCTAATAATTTCTCAAACAGATTTGTCCCTTGAACTTTTGGCTGTGTATTAAACATCCTTCAGATTATCAAAGCAGCTCTTTCTGGTGATAGATATAAAACTGGAACCGATGGTAGTCCAACTAATTGTACTGCAGGACAAGATATTGTGTTATTTTGTGTCTGGAAAATATCTTGCCTAACCCTAGCCTGTCCTCTAGAACCCAGAACAAAATATCTCAGAATCTATCTAAGCTTTGGCACGTCAATATATTTTGACTAGAACCAATGGATGCCATCCTCAGAAACTACAAAGATACCTTTCTAAATGAAAAGGAAATTATTCCCTTTGTGCGGAAATTGTTTTAAAAGAAAGGCTGTTAATGTCTCAGCGACACATTAATAATTCCTTATAAAGATCTTGCATGTCAAACTGATATTGACCGATTTTAACATCCCACGTACTATAGAGTATTGAATGTCTAGCTCTACAGACTTGTCCTACATTCTGTGTCATATTATAGATTATTTCTTTAAACCAGGAATGCTTCCTTTTGAATTATATTATAACATTTCCCTACTTGAGTTTAGAACAGTTTATTTTAAATTTCTGGGTGTTCAAGAATAAAGTTTCAAAGTTGAAAAAAAAAAAAAATGAAAAAAAAAAAGAATACAGAGACTCAGCTACCCAGAAGATAAAATAAGGATTTTTTTAGTCTTTTTTTTTTCCACATATATGTTTACATAATTTACATTTTTAACATTCATCTTTATGTCTTGTGTACTAATAACCTCATCCCAATTTGAGATATATGGTAACCATTCAAAACATATTGAAGCAAAAAAACACAAAACATTCAAACCGCAATATTTAACAGAAGCATTCAAAAATATAAAAACAGGTCTGAAATAAAAAGTTATACCACATTATAATATGGTCCCAAAAAAAGTAAATATTAAATTAAGTATGGCCTAGTAAATATCATCAAAAGAAAAAAATATAAACGCAACCATTAAAGTGACTTGCCTCAGATATTTCATTACTTTTTTTGATCAAATAATTAGTTTTGAATACAAAACCATTAACGCATACAACTGATGCTCAGTAAACATATTATTTTACCGTATTGTTTCTTTTGAATGTCCCCAGACAGGGGCATTTATTACTGGCATGATCATTTACTTTGTCACGACAAGGGCATATATTAAGGGCAAGGACATTTTTAAGTGAGCATGGGCATTTATAAGGGCACTTTAAGAGGGCATTGGTATTTATAAGGGCACTTTGAGGACATTTTTAAGAGGGCATGGGCATTTATAAGGGCACTATGAGGACATTTTTAAGAGGGCATGGGCATTTATAATAGCAAGGCTGTTTATTAAGGCAAGAGCATTTATTAGGGAATGGGCACTAATTTGTGACAATGCGGTAAATAAATAAATAAATATCATTTTCCACTTAAGGGAATGTTATGCGACTGGTACTTAAAAAGAATTGATCCAAGATATCCTAAGCAGGTGTATGGGAAGCTAAATAAAACCCATTTACAATTATTGATGTAGATTTAAGAAAATCACTTTAAGGTATGGATGACGTTATTACAGAATAATTTTAAGATGCTCTCATTTTGACACTCTTAGCAGTCTTCACTTTAAAAATTATCAACAATATACTCCTACTATTAAGTTTTACATTACGGAAGATGCAAAAAAAAGTTACTTAACTTATGTATTTTATCTGGAGTAAAAATCTCAAAGCAATATTTTCCCATCTTCTATGGTACAATATGAAAATAATCAGTGGAATATACCTAATTATTTGTTTATAATTCTTTAATCAACCTTCTAATTATATGCAAAACATCTTAAAGAATATTCTAATTGCACCAGTAAGTATACTTAATTACTTTGATCTTAGACCGACATGTAAAGTGAAGGATATTATTATTTTAATGCACCCTATAATAAGAGAGGTCTAGAAAATTCAATTTAGCAACAGTTCCTGTCTTTAACACGGCAGGCAAATATGCCATATTTTGGTTCTGGCTTCAAACCAGTCGTAACAAAACAGAACATTTTCTGGGTCTATTGAAAGTCTTTTTTCACTCGATTATCAACAAATCCAATACCAGAATAGAATTCCAGACTTAATCAACAAAAGAACAAAGTCAGTTTGCAGAGACTGTGTGACATTTCCTTACAAGCTAAATTTAAATGCATGTTTATGTATTAATAAATTAGCATTGAAATTGGTTGTTGCATGTTTTATACAACAGCATTTGTATGCAACATCACTACAAATGCTGCCGCTTTATTGGTGTAGTCAACACATAAAATTTAACGTTATTTATTATCAAATGGTCAAGTCTATAACCAAGTCATACATTCTTGCCATTTTTTTTTTTTTTAATAGCAAACAGTGCAGATCTATGATTCGACGGTACAGCACGGATGTACCGGCTGATGGTTGGTCTGCACTGGTCGCTCAGGTACTCATGTATAATTATACAGTCATCGCCACCAGGCTAATGATAAATTCCAGTCAACTGCAAGCTTTCTTTACAATCAAGCTTCAATATATTAAATGTGTAAACACATGAGGTAAGGCCTGATGGTCAGTATAAATGAAATAAAATTACTTACAATTCAAAGACTAGGAAGATAAAGGTTGGAGTTTCAAAAGCATCATGGAGTTCAACTGAAAGATAAAAATATTTTTTTGTTTATAAGAAATTTATAACTTCTTTTTTTTTCAGAATGATAAAATTTAAAGCAACACTTTTTATTCACTTCAAGCACATAATTGCTGATGTGTCAATGGTAACATTAGGCTATACGTATTCATTATTGAAACAAAGATAGCATGGCTTTTCCATTACTTATTCAAACCAAGTCTGCAATTTTCCTTTAATTTTGTTTTTTTTAATGCTTTAGAGGGATCACTTTTTTCCAGATAATTTCTAACTTTTAAAGATTTTGAACACTTCATAAGCTTGCGCTAATGGACATGAAAGATATTGCACTTCTCATGGTCTCTCATCAACAGACTGTATCAAACTGAGGGAGCAATTTGTACTTATATTTTGTCCATTACTGTAGATGGATCTTCCTCTTCCAAGGATTTTTTCAAAAGAAAACAACAAAATTAACTCATAATTGACTGGAACAGAAAGTCACAGACTGATTAGCATTTGCAACATTGATAAGCCTTTGCAACCTAAGTGTACAGCCAGCCCATCCAAGCCAGCCAGCACATCCTTGAAGTCTGACCAGGTTCTATACTTTTGGTAGCTCAATTTTTGTATTTTGATATAAAATCGCTTAAATTTCTAATGAACTGTTCCAAAGTCAGGCTGTGCAAATCCATTACACAATTTCAGTAGCTATTTAAGGGTTTATGACTTCAACTAATGTATAAAGAGGAGATTTTTCTTCATATACATGTATTGTACTTACTAATTTGTTCATGGCCAGTACACATACGTAGAATGTTTATTTCTCGTATAGTGTCCTCCTTGGTCTGTTCTGCCTGGTACGAGTCCGAGCGCTCCCCACTGATGTCTATTATCTTTACGGCATATTCTTTACCCGTATTCTTTTCCGTACATCTACGAACTACGCTACTTATTCCCCTGAAATATTAAGAATATAAAATACAGAATTAACATTACTAATTTCACATTGGTGCCGTCTGATTATGGTTGACATTGTTCTAAAAATGATAAATGGTTTTGTCCAGATCGAGAGATAGACAAGTCCATTTTAGATATTTAGCATGGTCAGAGTAAAAAACAACTGCTCTACTTTGATCAAAACTGTGGCCAGATCAAACTGTGGCTACATCTAACTGTCTTACAGTGCCTTTAAGACGTTTTATAATAGAATATAATTATGATATTGTATAATTACAGACCATGTCAAATTATTCCAATACATTTAATGTTTCTGTACAGTATTATTGTGAATAAATACAAATATTTTATATCAATGATGTCTAACTTGTCATTTTCATAAAAGCATTACACCATAAACATGATACATAACTGTATATCAGATCTGTCGTCATATAAAATCTGTCAATAAGTTTCTTTTTTCATTTATGAGGAATTTTTCTTTGTTTTGAACTTGCAATTTTTTTTTTTTTCGTGGAGGTTTTAAATGGATGTATTAACCAGTTCTTACATAATAACTTTTATTGTAGAATATTACTTCATAATAAAACTTATAATATTATGTAGGCTTTTTAATAAATTTTTCAACTTGTTCTGACTTATTTGTGTTCACAATCTAAAGGGAATGATGCATTGGATGTGACACATTTATATTGTATATAGTAATAGGTTATAAATGTGTATATTTTAATGTTAATATTTGAGATCCACATCATTTTTAAACATCAATACTGTTGAGGCCATATGGTGACTTTCCAGCTCAAACAGCTGGCAGAAAATGTCACTGGTTGGTGCCCTTTTTTATATTTTTTTTCAAACAGAAAACATAAGTAGAACAACAGACATTTTGTAAGCTAGCTGAACAGCTTCCTCACATGAAAAAGATGATGGTTAAAAATAAAATCTATAGGTACCATAAAATAAATAGAGAAACTGGCACCTCTAAATTAACTTTAACAATGCAGAAAAGCAGACCGCACAACAATTCAAAAGCAGAAAGCAGACAAACAACACTTTCTGTATAATAATTGATAGACTGTCATTTATCTGATGACAAATCTACTTCTCACAACATCAACAGCCTGTGTTACACATCATTTATAAAATCCTTATTACTCCCACACAATTATGTCAGCAGTAATTGGTAAAACCATTGATATTTTCCTGAACAAAGCGCAAAAACTTCAAAGATGTCAAAAAAGCAAAAATCACAAGAAAAACCTTCTTTTATCTGCTTTACGAGGTTTGGCATTATATAGGTAACATCATTATATTCTATGACACAAAGACATAAATAACTTCTATTACTGCAGATAATTTGGGGGGAGTGGGAAAATTTAACAACTGTTGAGGGGGAAAAAAACTTTTGTGCATAAAATATCTAAATATATAATAATGCGTTTTTGAGTTATGCATACCAATATTGTTTTAAAATAAATTGAGCTTTAAATAAATATGTTTAAACTTATATTGTTCTTCTTTGGTTAAACTTTGTTTTATTTTGGTAAGAATATTACATCATTGCAGCTTTGCGGCTGGGAAATCAATTACTGTCAGAAATTTAGTGCATAAATTGTCAGTGTGCAAAAGAAAGAAATGAAGAAAGGTGCATAAGTAATCATCTCTGGAAATTCAATTGTTTTTTCCTATTTATTAAAACTAGTAACTTTTGTTTCTGCATTGAAACCAGTTACATTGATTGATATATAATATAGCATCATAATAAATTAAACACAATTAATACTGATTGATATTTAATATATTAAAATATAGCACCACAATATTAAGATTAAACACAATTAATATTGATTGATATTCACAATAAATTAAACACAATTAATATTGATTAATATATAGTATCACAATAAATTAAACACATCTACTGGTTTATTGTTGTTGTTGTTGTTTTTCCACTCCATACTGCTTTTTGGACAAGACCATCAGCCATATAGATACTCGATATAAATAACTGTTTACTGCAATGTTTGAAAAGGTCAATGTTTGGCCAACATTGTTTACATTCTCTATCAAGAAACAGTCAAGGTGTCCTGAATGTACATGGGTCAAGGGAGGTAACTTGTGTCCAGCTATCAATTATTTACACCTGAGAAGGTCACTGTAGGTGGTCATGTTTACAGTTTATCATGATGGTCAATATAATCATGGTCAAGTTGTCAACAGGTCAACCTTGAAGGTGAAACTTCAAATTGTAGTAAACAGGCCTAGTTTCTGGCCTTAAAATAGAACTGAGCTCACTCAAACTGTGTTGAAAGAATTGAATATGATAATTTGGTCTTGCAGTGAAAATATTGTTTTATATAAATAATGATCTGACATCTGAGTCTTTGAACAGCAACAAATGAATGATATCAGGTATTTTTATACTCATGAAAATTTTATTTATCTTGCTTATGTAATTTTAAAACAAGTACATTTATATCAATACAGAACATAAATTTGTAATTATTATTATAGCCAAATTATCATGGTAGATCTATAAAACTTACTGAGTAACCTTTTTTATCCATGATTATCATGATAAATTGTTTACATTAAGTGACGGAATTTTTCAAGTTACATAAGTTTCACTGTTTGATATGACTTACTTAATCATTCACTTCTGTAAAACATGTAGTTTTCGTACTAATACATTAATAATGAAAATATTTTTGCTATCTTCAACATATACAATGTCCTTAATGTATGACTTTTTACCATTACGCAACAAAAAACCCGCAAATTGACGTAAACGAAAGTTATTAAGACTATTCTATACGAGTATATGTGGGATGTTTTTGATAGTTGCATGTACATGACTATGTCAATTTCAGATGGTGTCCAATGATACATACGTAGTTAGACTTAAAGGGAGCAATTAAATGGCCTTAAAGGCAAATGCCCTACATACATGTACATTAATCCAGAAGGGGGCATCGTGACATCCCAGCCTTACCCCTCCCACCTTAAGATTAATTTAATGGCTTCCATGTCATCATAGAATATATATCATATCTCATCAATGTCCCGATATAAACTTAAGTTTTTTTTAGTGAAAATCAGAGCAAAAATTTGACAAATACCTCACCCCCTCAGAATTCTGACGAGAGCTTTAACTTGATTGACCTAACAAGAAGTCTTTCTACTAAGTGGGCTTTTAATTAAGTAGATCGGCTTTTAATTAAGTAGATCCCTTAACAATTGACCATTTGTTTGACATATTTTGGTTTCAAGCAGCAGCATTTCTGGGTCATACAGTGAAATGTGAATCATATATTTACGTTATTCCATATGAACCATGCCTACAAAACAAATCCAAACACGATTCAATTACGCTTAAAGTAATGCAGCATTAAATAAGATTAAATGGAATTAAACTGACAGAAAGAAATCCTTTATGCTAATTGAAATAATATTTCAATGGATACAAAATTTCTTTAAGCACATATAATAACTATGAATTTCCTTATTTAGCTAACAAATCTATGTCAATAAATAGACCAGGTTTACAAACATCAAATTAAAGTTTTGCAATTGAAAGAATGTAAACTGATTGGCATTGTTGCCAAAAAAATATTAACAATCAAGGAACCCTACCAGATTTAGTTTCTGGCACATTTCTGTATTAACTAGAAAACCTGTGTCATTATGAACACAAATCTTTTTACAGCAAATTGACACTTGTGAAAATTTTGAGTTTTTACTCAATGACACTGTCCCAGACTGAGATGAAAAATAAAATTCTTAGAAGAAACATAGCCTTGGGCTGTACTGAAAAATTTGTCTGAATTTAGCAACTTTCAAAGACTTCACTTTATATATAGAATAGTGGTATAGCTTCATAACATCAACAGGTAGGTATATCCAGAATTTCCTGCGATAAATATAGAGCCACACAGGCTATTTCAGTCTCCGCCAATCTAACTTTTATTTTGGATCTTATAAATTCTTACAAATAAATTTGTTCCCACTCAACAAATTTCCTTAAGTGCAACATATAAAACTTTTTTTAGGCCTCAACGGGGTAACGTCTAACCCCGTTTATTCACCCCGTAATACAGAATGAGAGGGTCGAGGTCATCCCCTTCATACCTTATAATATCTATACAATCATGTATATCACATTGTTATATTAAACTTTACAATCATGTAAAACTTGACGACAATTAAGGTCAATATGACATACATGTATGACGGACACTTAAGACTGCACTTCCGTATCAGTCATAATGGCGGAGTGCAGACTGCAGGTTATTGATGATTCAATAACTTAACCAGTTTATTGAACTGTATCACCATGCCAAGATTTTTCCACATGACTGTTTATCTGGTTAATCTCAGTGTAACTTACAGAGAAAACTTGCAAAATTGAGTGAAATTAAGAAGGTTGTGTATTAATTATTGGTTTGCGGTAATCAATATGAAGTTGATCTGACGCCAGACTGGGGCACTTTATTGTTTTGTTGTAAAGATACAGACATTCTTGGAACACTACAGAACCAGACTGGGTTATTGACCAGATCTACAATGCAGACATGCTGCTCATGTATATAGAGGTGTAACAAAGTCTCCAATTACCAACAAATCAATAGTTAAGATAATTAAGTTTTCTTTGATCTGAGAAACATGACATAGTCCATTTTTCGTGTAAAATGTTGAATTCTGCTTAAGCCGGTGCTAGGGGGCGTGGATGGTATCTTGCACTTCCATCCATGAACAGGCTCAATCAAACCGAGCCAGCAACATTTTCAATTTTGCCGTGTTGGGCTTTCTTTAGGGATTCTGCTTTTCTCTATTCATACTGTTTTGATTGTTTATATTATAAAAAATAATTGTATTTAACCTTTAACACTCTAAATATCTTAAATAGACTTGTCCATCAGATATTCAATCAAGTCAAAACCATTCAATTTTAAGGAAATTTTCAAGTTAAGAATTGACTGAATTAAGTGCAGACTGCTGTAATCAGAATGAGATGGATGGTATGGATTTGAAAGTAGGTCTACTGAATAGTGTACAGTGCAGACCATCATAAATTGTAGAGCTATAAAGACCGTAAATTCAAAGCATATGTCTTCAAATAGACTATCGGTATTAATTATTAAAAGGACCACTTTGGGAAATCATTTGTCTGTTGTTTTTTAAAGTTATACATAAACAATTACCTAGACTCACTTTCATAGTAACATGAAACAATAATATAGATAAAATCTGAATATATTAAAAATGTCTGGTCAAATCCAGTTTCAACTGTATAATGTTATCTGATTTGTCAACAGTTTTATTTCATTGATTTTAATCATTTTATATTTCATTTTTTATGGCCATAAATTTTATTTGTGTCAGTTATCTAGGCCAATGTGAATAGGAAGGGTCAAGACATTAACATCTGATATCAAATGATACCATTCTTAAAGAGCGTAAATCAATCAGAGTCTATCATTTCAAACAATGGCTGATCAAATCAATATAACTGATATATATCAGCTAATCAAGTGTAAATTAGTTAATTACCAATTGGCCATGCAATAACAGTTTTTAATGACCAGATAGCAATCTCGATATGCGTAATAAATAACATAAATGTGTAAAAGGTACAAATAATTAAGTCAAGTAGAAAATTGTAACTATAACCTACTTTTAATTACCGACAAAGTTAAGACTTTAGAAACAATCGAAGTTTCGATCTTTAGCCTTATTAATTACAGTAGTCATATAAACTATTAAACAATGGCATAAAATTTGATATCAAGGTAATAAAAATTTTTGATGTAAGGTATTCTTATTCCGGACCGCTTATTCAAAAATTCATGTTGTAATAAAAAAATTGTAAACAGTCCTAAATGTTTAATATCCAACTAGTGAAAAAAGTAATATATTATTTATACTTTATATATTATGCAATCATGACCTAGATTTTTCATACTCCATAGCCTAAGTCATGTACAACAAGAAAGAATACCACATTTCAATTATAAATCAAAGAACATCTATTTTATTTTAACAATAAACACATTGTTAATAAAATTGTTAGCCTAAAATTAAATATTATCAACAAGCAAACTGTGCACATTTATGTCCTTAAAAACACATAATTCAATAGAATAGCCTAATTTAAGGCAATTATACATTTACATATTGATTTTAAAAGGGAGCAGCTGTTCTTACTTATTTTCCTACCTTATAATAAGCTGTTGAAAAATACAAATCAAAACACCAGATGTCAGTGACTTTAAGCTGATTGTATTAGGGTGTTAAACAGAACTAGAACTGTGCGACCTAAGTATGTCATAATTTATGCTTATGAAAAACATGTAACACTTTTTTGTAGTCAAGTCTAGTCAAGTCAGCAGATGACAATTGTGATTTCTTTAAAACTTTTAATATCATTGTATAAAACTATTAAATAACTAATCTATTTATAGATTTTTGATCTCCTGAAATAATAACATTATACAATTGCACTTCTTGACAATTAGAATTGCATTGTGTGCATAATGATTATAATGTATGCACAACATGAACATGCTTATTTTGTTCAATAAAACATTTCATGCATATGCAGGAATCAATTTCAATTAAAACCTTTTTAGTATTAACAAGAGATTTTGCCTATTTTCAAGCGTGTATAATTATACATGTACATGTATGTAAATACATATCTCAAAGGAATGTTAAGTAAATGGTACTTTACTTATTATTAGTAATAATAACCCACATTTGTCTACTTGCAAGTCAAGAAGGAAACTAATATAAATGAAGCAAAATACATGTAAGGAAAATTAATAAACTGGGTTTAAGCCACTTCAACTATATATTAAAATGTCCTTAAAATAATTATGAAGAGTATAAAAATATATTTGCTCAAATATTTTTGGCATCCCCTGAAATACACAACTGATTTAGCTTATTATATAAGTAACAAGTTAACAGGGCAAAAAATGGGAAATTTACATATTACTTAATTTTAATATACAATAAGTCAATGTATTATATTCCTATTAAAACCACTTTCTATTTCAAATATTTTCTTCCTGGTTTGCTTGCAAGATCAGTATGGAAACTTGTTATACAATATAGACAGGTTGCTGCCTTCTGTTGCTTAACTTCCCCCGCCCCTCTCCTTTACGCCACCCAAACTGATTATATTACCATACAATATATTATTCCCATATATCAACATTATATAACCATGATTATTTCCCAAACCGGGTCACATGACACTCTACATTGTAAGAGACATAAAGGGACACAACTCTGGACTGGTGTGAGTCATCTTTCCCACCAGTAGAGCGAAATTTCAAGCGAAAATTCAATGGAGTTCTTACATTTATTTCTATAATTATATCAACAAATAAGCATATTTATTTCAAAAACGCTTCACAGGACATTGTCAGACCACAGAGATACTAGCTACGAATTTCATCCCAAACATTTTTGTGTTATATATAAGTGATAGCTTCTGATATTTTTTTCTGTTTATTAATTAATAAACATGTTTATTTTTCAAATCAGGACTTATGTCATTATTATTATTTATAACGTCATTTCCTGGTTTAAAATTGGGTTTTATACGTCATTATATGACGTGATGTGGTAAACAATTAATTGATCAACATCAAAGTTCAAGTATTCATCTTATATATATATATGCATTTCCTTTAATCTATGACATCATTTTTCTCTGTGTTTACGTTACAGTAGTCCAAAATGTCAAAAAGACATTGGGATAATATTTGGACAGGCAATATCTTTATGACAGTATGAAAGTCTGTTAATCAGGTCAAACCATTCATGCCTATTTGATAAGGGTATCATTATTGTAAAGTTATTATAACTGTTTTGTTGATTTTTCCAAATATTGAACATCTTGCCTTATTAGGCAAACCTGCATTTTTAAATACAGTGTCAAATATTTGTATCTTTTAAATTAATATTTCATGTTATAAAATCAATGCAGAGTATTAAGGGTTCATTTTTTTATCTGTAACAGTGATAATAAAGAATAATCCTAATATGAGATAAAAACAAATACATATATATTTAATTAATTTGGTAGCATCAGTAGTGTCAATCAAACATTTTAGCCATTAACACAAATTTGAATCATGAAAATACCAATACGATAATCTGTGATAATTTTCCATTGAAAAAAAAAATTCCATTGAAAAAAAAAAAAAAAAAAAATTATATTAGTAAGAAACATTATGTAATCTATACAATTGTACTGTAGCCCAATTCATTTGGCATGTCAGCTTGACCCAGGTTACAACAGCTGGAAATAAGGCTGTACTGCCTATCAATAAATAATATATCGTAAAACATAAAAGAAAATCTCTATCTCTCTCATTGTATAACAAGATAAAATATTAATTCAACCAAAATTTACTGAAAAACCCACCTTCCTATAACCTCATGAAGAGTGATTGAAAAGTTTTCTCCATTACTTGTGAACACAAGGTTAACATTATCTAGGGGTTGATATTTACTATCAGATGTCCCGATCCCTGGGTCAGATCTCTCCACACGAGGACATGTCTCTATATTATTATTAGGGTCCTCCATTTGTTTACGGCAATCACTAATCCCTTTGACACAATCACTGTTTTTAAAGCTAAACAGATCCTCTTTCAATGACTTAACCATAGTGTTGGCTTTACCCACCCCTATCCACTAAAACCATTCTTAAGTTGAATTCATATAATTTATATGTCCTTTTTTTAAATAAATTTCCTTAAAAAAAATTCTCTCACAGCTTTAAGAAGTTCAATGTATTATAAATCCCAATAAATCAACTCTAAATATTAATCCTTATATATTCACAAACTATTAAATGATTACTCCATATCACACTTGTGTTCAATGGTATACATGCTCTAACTGAATTCTACACAAGTCATAGTAGTATCTATGTGTATACATTAATCAATCAACCAATCAGAGCTGCCAAAAGAAGTAGAGCATGGAAAAACGCCTTAGCCAATCAGCAGAAGTTTTACATGCACTATCCTACTTAAGAGCCAATCAGACGCCTGCACTCTCACACACCTTTCTCAGGAGAAGAATGTAAACAACCAGATGTTGAATGGGTGTATGATGAAATTTCTAGTATTAGTGGAAAAGAGACTGGGTCACGAAAAGTCGGTGAAGATAGTTGAAAAGTTTAAAACAGTAACATTCTATTACAAGCACCAAATTTTCTACACATTGTGTTAAAAATGTTGTACAAGTGTAGTTATAAAGTATTTAACTGAATAATGTTGTACAAGTGTATGTTATAAAGTATTTAACTGAATAATGTTGTACACGTGTTGTTATAAAGTATTTAACTGAATAATGTTGTACAAGTGTAGTAAAATTACACATTATAAAGTATTTAACTGAATCAGATATGGCAAAATCAATTTATAATGGACATCCACATGTTATAAACAATACATCATTTCTGTTCTGACCCTAAAATATAATTAAACACCAGCTCATCTGTTATCACATTGTGTAAATTCAAGCAAGTCTTCTAACAGCAACTCTCTGAAAGATGTTGAGAAATTTTATAACTTATTCTGTTCAATATAATTTACATGTTGAAATTGTATTTTTACACTGATAAACAAATTAAGTTGCTTCATTGTTAAAAATAGGGACACAAAATCAGGAAAAATATTCATAATCTGTTAAATGAATTATTATAATTAAGTTGTTCTAAACTAAGTATTATGCTTTCTAATCTTGGCATTAATCATGTAAAACAGGTAATTAAATTAGATTGCTATGTCAGTCACATTCAGAAGTCTGCAAATCATTACCTAAGTGCAGAAACAGGTTTAGTTCTTCTAAATTAAATAGGAGTCAACAAGTTATTGCATTAAGGTGATGAAATGTAGTACACAGGTACACAGGTGCACTAATGTACCAAAAATGTCTCTGCAACTTTCATTTTATTTAGAAGCAGGTACTTTACCTATTTGCACTGTTTAATATGTATTAACATTCTTATCTGGTAGAAAAAAATGCACTTCATTTCTGTTACATAACTCTGACATTATCATTACCTCTGAATGATGTCATATAAAATTTTTATACAGCATATCATTTGCACTGACCTAGTTACCGATATTCTTTCCTATTAATTACAAAATATGGTCATATTTCATGATTAAATAAAACCTTTATAATACATTTGAGAGCAGATTGCCTTAGTGCACTGCTCTATACAGTGATAATTGCTTTTGCATCAAGGGTGTGAAGTGTTTTTGAAAAGCCAAACTTGACAAATTGCCAGCATTTAGACAATAACAGACTTGACAAATTGCTTACTGCCTGAATGGTTTAAGTCTGTTACTGGGTATTTCTTTTAAAAGGTGGACAACCAAAGACTTGACAAATTGCTTACTGACTGAATGGTTTTAGTCTGTAACTGGGTACTTCTTTTAAAAGGTGGACAACCAAAGACTAGACAAATTGCTTACTGACCTGTTACTGGGTACTTCTTTTAAAAGGTGGACAACCAAAGACTAGACAAATTGCTTACTGACCTGTTACTGGGTACTTCTTTTAAAAGGTGGACAACCAATGACTTGACAAATTGCTTACTGACCTATTACAGGGTACTTCTTTTAAAAGGTGGACAACCAAAGACTTGACAAATTGCTTACTGACCTGTTACAGGGTACTTCTTTTAAAAGGTGGACAACCAAAGACTTGACAAATTGCTTACTGACGTGTTACAGGGTACTTCTTTTAAAAGGTGGACAACCAAAGACTTGACAAATTGCTTACTGACCTGTTATTGGGTACTTCTTTTAAAAGGTGGACAACCAAAGACTTGACAAATTGCTTACTGACGTGTTACAGGGTACTTCTTTTAAAAGGTGGACAACCAAAAGACTTGACAAATTGCTTACTGACCTGTTATTGGGTACTTCTTTTAAAAGGTGGACAACCAATGACTTGACTAATTGCTAACTGACATGTTATATGGTACTTCTTTTAAAAGGTGGACAACCAAAGATTTGACAAATTGCTTACTGACCTGTTACTGGGTACTTCTTTTAAAAGGTGGACAACCAAAGACTTGACAAATTGCTTACTGACCTGTTACTGGGTACTTCTTTTAAAAGGTGGACAACCAAAGACTTGACAAATTGCTTACTGACCTGTAACTGGGTACTTCTTTTAAAAAGTGGACAACCACAGACTTGACAAATTGCTTACTGGCTGAATGGTTTAAGTCTGTAACAGTTATAGTGGGTATTTCTTTGAAAAGATGGACATTCACAGTCTTGGCAAAATGCTTTCTGGGTCTGTAACTGGGTACTTCTTTTAAAAGGTGGACAACCAAATTTTTAGACTTGACAAACTGACATTTATGAATGCCTGGAGATTGTTACACTTTGTTCTTGTACACCTGGAACATGGAACACTGGCTTCTTGCAAACTTGGAGACTGATACATTAGGCTTATATATACATAGTGCAATGGCATATGCACACTTGGAGACTTGGAGAATGTACATTAAGAGTCTGGTACACTGGCTAAGGTATACTAAGAGACTGGTACACTGCCTAATGTACACTTGGAGACTGGTACACTGGCTAATGTACACTAAGAGACTGGCAAACTGGCTAATGTAAACTAAGAGACTGGGAAACTAGCTTCCTGCACACTTGGAGACTGGTACACTGGCTAATGTACACTAAATGACTGGTTAACTGACTAATTTACACATAGAGACTGGTAATCTAGCTTCCTGCACACTTGGAGACTTGTAAACTGGCTAAAGTACACTTGGAGACAAATACTCTGGCTAATGTATACTAAGAGACTGGTAAACTGGCTAATGTACACTAAGAGGCTGGTAAACTGGCTAATGTACACTAAGGGACTGGTTAATTGACTAATGTACACTAAGAAACCAGTATTGCAGCTTCCTGCACACTTGGAGACTGGTAAACTGGCTAATGTACACTTGGAGATTGATAATCTGGCAAATGTACATTTGGAAACTAATACACAGACTAATTTACACTAAGAAACTGGTACACTCTCTAATGAACACTTACAGACTGGTAAAACTGGCTAATGTACACTGAAGACTGATACACTGGCTAATATACACTAAGAGACTGGTAAACTAGCTAATGTACACTAAGATACTGGTAAGCTGGCATAGGTACTAACTAAGAGACTGGTAATCTGGCTTTTTCACACTTTGAGATTGGTACACAGGCTAAAGAACACTTGGAGACTGGTAAATTGGCTAAAATCTACACTAAGAGACTGGTAAACTAACTAATGTACACGTAAGAGACTGGTAAACTTGCTAATGTACAATAACAGACTGGTAAATTGGCTAATGTACACTTAAAGACTGGTAAACTGATTAATGTTTGCTAAGAGACTGGTTAACATGCACGCTAATGTACCCTAAAGAGACTGTTAAACTGAATAATGTACACTGAAATACTGGTAAAGTGGCTAATGTACACTGAAATACTAACTGGATTCTTGCACACTTGGAGACTGGTGCTCTGGCATATGCACAGTTTGAGACTGGTACACTGACATATTCACACTTGTGAGTTCCTTGCATTGGCTAAAACACATTTAGATATTAATGCACTGGCATAAATAATGCACATTTAGAGAATAGTGGCGTGTGCACATTTGGAGATTAGTGCACTGGCATATATAATCTATGACACTGGGCACTGGCTTATGTACACCTGGAGATCAGACAGTGCACTTGATTTTGCACAGTTAAAGACTGGTGCACACTCTGACATAATTATGTACATTGGAAACTGATGCACTTGCATACTGGTGCACTGGCATATGTACACTTGGAGATGATGCACTGGCTTATGCACACTTGATGATGCACTGGCGTATGCACACTAGAAGATGCACTAGCGTATGCACACTTGATGATGATGCACTAGCATATGCACACTTGAGGATGATGTACTGATGTATGCACACTTCAGACTGGTGCACTTCCTGGCATATGAACAAATATAGCCTGGTGCAATGGTTATGCATATTTGTACACTGATGTACTAGTTTATGAACACTTGTACACCTGGATAATGGTAAAATGACTTTTTGAACTCTTGAGAATGATGCACTGGCTTATGCACACTTGGAGAATGGTACATTGGCTGATGCGCACTTGGAAACCATGCACTGCCAGTGCCTGGCATATGCACACTATTACACTATTTTATGCACACTTGGTGACTGGTGCAATGACTAATGAACTCTTTGAGATGGATACACTGGCATATGCACACTTTGAAATTTGACAAAGGGGCATAGGCACTGCCTGGCATATGAAAGAAAAGAAGAGACTGGTGCACTGTGTTATGCACAACTTAAGAGACTCAGGTGCAACTCTTTTTGCTATATTGGAAACTGGTAAAAAATCTGCTTCTTTTTAAAACTTCTCTTGTGCATGCAGTCTCAATACACTCAATACATATCTTACATCGCCTTTGCTTGCAAATTATGCATAGTTCAATAACCAAAGACTGACATTAATCCGTTGAAAAAATAAAATGTTTAATAAACAGAAAAGAGTTTAAAATGAAAAAATCTATCAATACCTTCCTAGAACTTCACTGATATATAAGGTGGATTCCCCATGCTCTGTCAGGAAAGAGACGGTAATTTCCCCGAATGTTCCAGTATCCTTCAGTAGAGTGTCATGAGGTTTAAGAAGGCTTGCAAGAGAATCCAATTTGTCCTTATTTGCCACATGATTACCTCTTTTAGAACGACATTTGGTACCTTTTAAAAGTTTCAGCTTTTTCTGTTTTATACTGTCATTGATTGTACTAGGCCTGAGAGGCATTTTTTA